CCGCGAGCCCCTGCTCGGCTGCTCAGACTTTTATTAATTTTATCGGATTGGAATGATTTTTCTGAGCTCTAATGCATGCAGGATACTTCATGCGATCGTGGTCGAAGGTTTTGAGGTGATTAAGGGGAAAATTTGGAAAGATAGAGTCCGAAACCAATAATAAGGTTTCCGCGGAACCCCACAGGGGTTCCGCGGGGCAAAAAAGGTTGAGAACCCCTGGTCTAAGCTAACGAGGCCTTCCTTTTAGCTTAGACATCGGATATCCCGACTGAGCTGGACTCATCACAAACCTTAAGAAGCACCTACGGCACCGACAGCTAATGTCTTCGCAAAGGAGCGAGATCAGAGATTATTCCGAAGTCCGATTCCGATCGAATTCATGGAATGTCATCAAAAAATAACGATGTTAAACGAAAGAGCGCGAAAAGAAAAAAGAAACGAAAAATAACGAAGCTCCCCCAAGAGGCAATTTGAAACACGAAGTGACTGAATGACGGAAAAGGGGTCCGTTCTTCTCGGATCTGATAGGCTTAAAACCTTCCCAGGTACTACGTGCCTCGTCATGACAAATTCCAAGACTGAGTTACCTTTAGTTTCCAAGAATAGGCGACCATGACAGACAAGTGGACATTCAATTTTATATATAGAAGATTGACTATACTGAAGAATACACACTCATCCAATACTGCCTGGGAACTGCCTATAAGCAATGAATGTGTAAAGAGTATACTTACAGAGATGCTCGGAAAGTTTTTAGGAAGGTATAGAGTTGTCGAGGAGCACTTTGGAAAATGTCAAGTTATGGAACATCCTGATCGGTTTTACATTTCGTTGGGATTGTCTTGCAGTAGAGGAGAATATATGCGCTCTTCACTGAAGTCAGCTCTTCGCTTGTTAGGGCGAAATCTCGGGACATTTGGCGCGATACGCGATCGACTCCTTGTCGGATCCTGGATCCCGCATTCTCGTGCCCCCTTCAGCGGGAGCGTCCGGCGATTCGCGATGCTCTCCTTCCAGGATCGCGCGCGGTGATGACATTCGGTGCGGCATGGCGTCGTGGTCGGCCCGCTCATCTAGCGGCCGAAGCAGACGTCCGTCATCTGGCCTCACGGCCAAATGGCCATGAGTCATGGTGTGTGGCAAGGCTTCTCGCGCTCTGGGTATTTACTTTCGTTGGCCGGTTCGAAAGAGTCCACACAGCGCGCGGCGTGAAAACCCTTATCCTGCAGAGCGGAACTTCGTCGATTCTCCTTGGAGTTTTCTCAAATCGATCAGAAAAGTGTGAGTTCTGTCTACCGGTGACAATGCTACTTTCCATTACTCAAGAACCGAGAGCTGTTCTGTATACGGGACTGCCGGGGTCTCCTGGAAGATTCCGAACGATTCGGAGCACATGTCATGTATTCCGTCTAGTCGAACGGGAACCGAAACTTCAACTTGTAATAGAGTATCGACAAATCCGGCTGACAGATTGGAGTCCCGCTTCCTCGCGCAGCGAGGCCGGCTTGCGAATCTTTGGATTGAGAGCAGTATTCTCCGTATGTTCCGAGACTGTCCGTCGATGAAATCCCTCGAAGGACATCGAAGAGAATCGAGGGCCCTCTACAGACGATGGCGGACATGGAGTACCGCCGAAAATTCCACCGAAAGCCGCGTCCGAGGCTTCTGCGTCAACATGATGGACTTTCGAAGGCATTAAATCTATCTTTTCTCGCACAGGTTAGGAATCGGAATATGTCCGACAAGAAGGATGAACTCCTCGAAAAGCTCACCGAAGAGGAGCGCCAGGAACTCCGCAAGCGGCTTGAGGACGAGACGGAGGAATATTTCAAAAACTGCAAGCGCTCTGAGTATAAAGAAGGTCAGAGAAATTTTTTTCTTCAACGCAGGAGAACTGAGAAGAATGCACATAAGTCGTCTCCGGAATCGAGGAGCCCCTATAGACCTCCAGAGCTGCAATTCTAGGCTGGAATGAAGCCACCTGGGAGAAAGAAATGAGCGAGCACCCTCTGTTCGCCACCTCGAGTTCGGATACAGGCGAACTCCCACCTTTGCTCGAAGCTATCCGCCAGATCAAATATGATGAAGAAGAGAATTCGCCGGAAGAGCTCGCGCGGAGTTACAAAGAGGATGGCAATCATCTCTTCAAAAAACAAGACTACAGGTGAGTTGAATGCTTGCGGGAACGCTCGCCGTCCAGTCTCCCGGGTCTCCGGCAGATCTTCGGAGTGGGCGTCGAGGCGATAGCCGTGGTCGAATCGCACTTCATTGGAGAATCTCTCGTGCAACCTCGTGGCAACCTGAGGCAAGAAGCTTCAGTCATCATTCCGTCGTGCAAATTTGAAACATTCTTACTCCTTCACAGAGCAGCCATCGCCAGCTACAGTGAAGGGATTCGTCAAAAAACTCTCAATAAGGAGTTGAACGCCCAGCTTTACCTCAACCGGGCGGCCACCAATTTCCATCTGAACAACTTCGGTGCAGCTCTCGAAGACAGCATACAGGCTCTCGAATTTCAACCTGATTACGTGAAGGCCATGTCCAGGTGAATCATCTCGCTGCAAACCCCAATATTTGGTATTCCCTCGCCGGAAAGAAACTGCTCATGACGGAACCTTTTCGAAACTGCCTCGATCTTCCATTGCCACGTTTCATAACGAATCTTCCCTTGCCTTATGATTTCAGAGCTGTCAAATGCTGTTGGAGTCTCCGCAAGTTGGATGAATGCGAGGAATTCTGTAGGCAGATACTGGCCAGAGGACCCGACGAGGCGACAGCGAAAGAGACGAATGAGTACATTGAAAAGTGTTCAATCGAGCGTAAAATCAGGGAACGTAACAGGCGGAAACGAGAGAAGGAGGAACAGGAGCGCATATTGAAACAAGCCGTGAGTCGTCCCTCGTCGTCCACTTCTCGGATCCTCTCGATTATTATCTGTGAGACATTCATTCAAAGAAAGTATTGTACTTCAAGTAACAACACTTCCTTCCTCAATCAGGACCTCGCCAGATTGATCAAGCGCGGCGGAGTTCAGCTGAGCCCGCCCGCCGAGGACAGTGACGTTTTACCGGATTTGACGCCTCGCTATCCGGCATTGAGGGACTTCCCCGTCTCTGTGGTCGAGGATTGCCTGATCTGGCCAGTTGCTCTCATATACCCCGAAGTCAAGGAGACTGACTTCGTCCAAAGGTTCGTCAACGCTGTCTGCCGCCCTTACACGGCAACCCATCCTGTATGAACCCGCTTCTCCATCGCGACAAGGACTTCTGCTTTAGTGTGCTTTACGAACTTCATCTTGACTTTCTAGATGGAATGAGGATTCGACATTCAAGCAAATGCTCGATGCTATGTACGGGGACGTGCCTGTGAAGAGAAAAGTTACCGATGAGGGAACAGCAATAATCTATGATCCCGCCGACTTGCAGGTGAGTTCCATGGACCGTAATTATAACCAGGTGCAACCGCGTCGTCCGACTGATTCCGGGTCGATGGAGCGACGGCGCGAGGGTCACCATCAGCGTCGTGTCGAAACGAGAGCGCCCTTACAGAATCATAAAACTTTCCCAGGTGTGGTACAAGTCCTCAAAAACTGGTCGACCCGTCGGAGTTCGTCCAAAGCACACGCTACGCCAAATAATTGCTCAGAAAGATTTCCTTGTGGAGGACGGCGTGCCGTCGTTCTGGGTCCTTCGGAGGAACTCCAAGTTCGAGAAAAAGTTCCTCGAAGAGCAGGGCACCTAATCTTAGCCCAGGAGAATTCGACAATTGTGATATGAGGATGACGGGCATCCCTGTCGATATTTATGACGACGCTCATCATCCGTGGAGCGTCTCCGCCGTGAAGCAGTCAATATTTCTGTTATGAGTATAAATTGAGGAAAGTGGAGACGGGGAATATTCATTGTTTGGAAAGTTGTCGGAAGAGCCACATGGTTCAGTGTCATAGAGGCGGGCAGCGGGGGCACTGTTCTCGACGATGGGTCCATCCAAATCCCATGCTCGGAGTCCGGAACTCCCAAGCAGGGGCGGGCACAGGATTTTTTTTGGGGGGGGGCAACTAGAGTTTTGGCGGGGGCCAGACGACCAAAGATGATCACGCGCCTTCTCGAAGTCCTTGCTTTAGCATTGGAACCGAAGAACTTTGGTAGGGGCCATGGCCCCCTTGCCCCCCCCCTGTGCGCGCCTCTGCTCCCAAGACGGGTACTATAGTACGACAAGAGCTGAGACTTTCTTCCCGAGAAAAACCCAAAGGTCCCTAGCACGTTTTTAGGCAAAGTATCATTTCCAGGCACAAGAATGAGATTTTTATTCCTCTGGCCGTCTTATGCAAATGGTCTCGACCTGAATATGCAATTTTCAACCGAACCTAATTCAATCGTCATAAATAGATGACTTCCTCTTCTGTCATGCGACGAAACATCATTACCAAATAGATTATGCTACAGGAAAAACATTGAAAACTTGAAGAATCTGAGATAGATACAAAAACCCGAAACATCGTGAAATTTTCCCTGCTCATTCACATCTGGAGACGTCTCAATCGTCGCCGAATGGAGCGCTTTCGTCTACGGATGCGATTCACCGCAGGCACCACTCGGATCCTCAGTCGAAGGGCGAACGAATACCGCTCGGAATTGAAAAATATTTTCTGAATTATCTGCTGTAACAGGGAATGTAGTATGATTTTTCTCTGAACACACATTCGCGGCTCTTCCTGAGAGATTTAAGCTTCCGCGATGGGCTTCCGAATGAAGTACGCCTACAAAGTCAGGCGTCGAGACTCGAGAGCTCAATCGACCATTCCGGTTTGGGAGAAGCATTCAATACCATAAACATCCAATAGAAAGACAGATCCGGAGCGAAGAATCGGCAGCAGGATCTACTATGTATCGCTAACATTGATGGCTCGGTCGAGACACCGTCATCGTCGTTCGGGGACTACTGCATCGCAACGACTGCTAATACACACAACATGTACACGTCATCTCGGTAAGAATCGATTTTTGTGCGACTTCCAGGTGTATAGGAAAAGTGACGAGAGTTTAGGCGTCTCGAACTGTTGATTGAGCTGCCGGTATCCGCAGACAGTCCTCAACTGGGAGGTCATCGAGAGACGGCTTCAGGCGCGCCTACTGCTGCTGGAACTTGTGGACAACCTTGTCGACAGTCTGGTGGGCCGGACTTTCCGGCACGCGATTCCCTAGGATATGGGACTCTCGCCGTTGGCTTGCGCTACGCGGCATCGGTGCGCTATGGCGTCCTCGAACGCTTTCTTGACCGCCTTCCGCTCGGCGGGCTTGCGGCTCTCCTGCAGCTTCCGCTTATCGGTGTCGGCGTCAGGCCCCAGAGGAACAAGCTTACTCCGCGGCAGCCACTGCCACGTACGCTTTGCATCGAAGAACAGCACGAGGAACATTTGCTGATGATTCTCTCTCGCATTCTGACTATTGCAACTGCTACTGCTGCTACTGCTGCTACTACTACAGCTACTATTGTGCTGCTGTTGCGGCGAACCATTGCAGTTGTTCGAATTAGTTGTTGAGTTGTTGTTGCCGGTGCCGCTGCTGCTGCTGCTAATGCTGTTGTTGTTGGTGCTGTTGTGGTGGTGACCGCCGGCCGTGTAAACGCTACTACTGTTGCCATTGTTGTTACTGTTGTTGGTGCTGGGATGATTGTTGTTTGTACTGCCGGCCCCGTTCACGTTGGGGCTGCAAGCGGAGACGTGTCGCGGATCTCGCTCTTTGGGCCGGAGTCGGAGAACCTGTGGCGGCGGCGTGGGGATGGAGACACCTGCGAGGGCAGATTTCTGATCTTGATCCTCTTTCTTTTCGCCCGTCGGAGCGTCGGGATCGATGATGAGCGCTGGATACCACGGGTAGCCCCTACACTTGGCCCAGACCAGATCCAGGGGTTCGAGGGGTATATTGTAGAGTTTCTGCTCGTCTAGTTCCTCGGCGATCGATGAACTCCCGCTCGAGGCACGCCCTCTCTTCGCCTGAGGTTTTAGATCGTTCGTTTTAGACTTTTTCGTTCTCGGAGCGCTCTTGCTCTCGTTGTTGGTTCCCGCCCGTCGGGTACGGGGTCCAGACACGTGAGAAGACGATGACGATCTAACCCGCTTGCTCTTGCGACCGACAGAGGGAGATGACATTCGTTTCCTCTTCGAAGCTTTCCCCCTGGCGATCGGCGCGGTTTTCTCGTGCGATGCTTTCTCGTCGCCGATAGCATTCTCCTCTTCGACCCCATCGACGTCATCTCCTTCGTCGGCACCATCGACGCAGTCATCCTCGTCTTCACATGACGAGCTATCGTAGGCCATCTGCCCATCTTCTTCGTCCTCGTCGTCATCGTCTCCCTCCTCGCCGTCCTTCTCCCCGTCGTCGTCTTCGTCGACGCCGTCCGCTTCGTTTTCGTAACTGTCATTGCTCTCTATGTTGTCATCTTCGCTGTGACCGTCCTTCTTGATCGTCGCGTTCTGTTCGTTTCCTGCTTCTTCTTCGTCTCCTTCTCCCTCCTCGTTCTCGCCATCATCTTCTTCTTCGTCCTGATCCTCTCCTTGTTCATCGTCGTCAACTTCTCCGTCCTCGTCCTCTCCTTCTTCCTCGTCGTCGTCGTCGAGCTCCTCGTCATCGTCGTCATCGTCTTCGCTTTCTGATGCTGTTCCCTCGTTCAGGGAAACATCTTTCGATGCCGTCTTGACGTCCGATCGCTGACCACGACGACGTTGTTGAGGTACATCCACAGAAGTCTCTTGTTGTTCGTCCACTCGAGCAGCCCCCTCCTGTTCATCATCGTATTCGTCAACCTCACCGGTTTCACTTTGTTCATCAGCACTGCCCGTGTTCGTGGAGCTCGATTCCGCTGTGGACGCATCATCGTTGTTTTCTTCACCTTGTTCTTCATCGGACGCCAGTTCGCCTTCGACCTCATCCTCCTCCTCGTCTTCTTCCTCTTCTCCATCTTCAGAATTTGGATCTTCTCCATCATTTCCTTCATCCTCTTCCTCATCGTCGCTGCCTTTATCCCGATATACCTGCCGAAACGGAGAATAATATCATCATTAGACCACGCCTCGCGTCGAATGAATAGACGCCGAGGAGGGATTTCAAATCGACCCCAGTCTGCTGTCCCAGAGCCGTACGTGCAGTATCATAATACGTCAGGGACTTCGAGGCCTCAGGGGGGAACTTTGGCGCGCGCTTCGACTCGAAAGATACTGACCTTGAAAGATTCCCTCTGAGGGTCCTGATTACTACTGCTCGCGTTGCTGGTCGTGGCTGCCGGACTGCTCCCAGCGACTGTCCTGCAGTTGCCTGTCCCCGTCGGCGAGGAATCAGTTTCGACGGTGGAATCGCTTTCCGTGTCCGACTCCTCGTCATCGACATTAGCCACGGCAGCCGACACGGCGGCGACACTTGCTGCGCCGCTCGCTAGGCCTTCCTCGGGTTCTTTCTTGATCTGTTTCGACGAAGGTCTTTCATCTTTGGCGGCTGCTTTCTTTTTGCGCAGCTTGGTGATCTCAGCACGCAACATTCTCTGGAGTTTGGTTTTCGTTGGAGACGCTTCATTTTGGCCCAACGCGCGCTGCCGGCTCGAGAGCAAGCTCAACTGATCATCGACATCCAACGACACGTATCCGTCGGACTTGAGCAAAGCTTCGACCGGCATTTTCGCACATTCCGGAGAAAGTAGCTTCTCGCTGGCCTGCTCACTCGCAGCAGACGCACTCATCGCCGATAGCCTCGACGCGGAGCTGTTCGGATTTCTTCTCGAGGCGGGCTCGGCTTTGATCTCTTGCGCGCCGGGCTTAATCTGTGCGGATTTCGGGAGAGGTTTCAGTCTCCCGTTCGAATAGTCGTAATTTACCGTCAAGTTCTCCCGATGCGAGCGAATTATCGCTCCTCCTTGATCTCTGAGTTTTATCGCCGCTTTATAGAAAATTGTGTCTTTGGCGTTGTAGGTCATGCAGTTGCTCACAATCAATTGAAAATCTTTCTCGAATTCGTGGAACGAGGCGTATTCCAAGCTGTTCGCCTTGGTGCGCATCGTTGAGAAATCCATGGGTTGTTTTATCAGGGTCGGATAATCCGGCACCTCCGAGCAGTCGACGGGCTCAGCGAAAATTCGACGAGGATCCTTCTCCTGGAGCAAATTGATCAGCTCGTTCAACACCTTAACCAGGGGTGAGATCTCGGTGAGGAAAACGCGTTCGCGTATTTTGACATATTCCCGTTTGAGTTTCTCGCGTTTACGGATCAATTCGCACAGGAGTCTTGCTCGCTCGAGATCTTGGCGCAGACGTTGCCAGTATTTCAGTTGATCACGCAAAGCCGACGTAGCACTGTCCATGTCTATATCGTTTTTGTTGTTGCGGCTGAGATGCGACATTTGTAGACGCCGCAAAAGAGACACTCCATTGCGTGACTGCCGTTTGAGGGTCCAATAGCCCATAAGTCGCTTGACGAAATCGGCTTTCTTGGGAATATCGATCAACGATGAAATGTGGCTTATGCGTTCGGCGGGAATCGTCGGGATGGATACTACGGGAAGTGCCTTCGCCTTCTCCTGGAGAATTTTGCGGGCACTTCTCATTTTATCCGCCTTCTTGTACGAGACCGGAGCGTGGGTGTCGCAGAACGCCGTTTTTCGCACACCAGTTTGTTCCCCGTTTCGACATTCTTCCAATTTCATGTAGAGTCCAGCTTGTTGTGCGCACGTTACGTGGAATGCCGTATAGCAGTTAGCCTTATGACATTGAATGCAAGCGCCTTGTCCGCGCTTCTTACAGATGTAACACGTCAGCTTCCAGCGAGCCGCAGGAATATTACAGATGTTGTCGATGGGCTCGAGAAAAACAGTATTAGCGAAGTAGACTTCCGGAACCCAGAGGGCGCATACGACATGACCCCACTTGCTGTCGGACGTTTGTTTGAAAGCCCCGCCGCGGTTCGGACACAAAACACAATCGACCGCTTTCGAAGGCGACTGAAGACACCGTCTGCAGAGCCATTGGCCCTCTGGGATATAGGGAACGCCGTAACACTCTTGGTGGACGGCCAAGTTGCACATGTCGCAGAAAAGAATGGCATTCGCATTGTGGCATTCGCCGTCCTGGCAAATACAACAGACCGCGTCGTCGTCGATCGCGCTCCCCACTGAAGCTGACGGAGTGTTCTGCGCTTGGAAATAACTTTCTTTTTCCAACCGATCCATAAGAAATTCAAACGTGTCTCCACTAACATCATGCGGAATTCCCTGGAAGGAAAGGTGGACCCTCACTATGAGCGAATGAGACACGCTTGGCGAGATAGAAATCATCCATAGGAGAGTGACATCAGCGAGCTACTACGATCCATGGTTAGTCTGCCCCGGAGTCGGGGAGGATCCCGGGGGCGGTGGGACTTACCTGCTTCTTGCGCTTTTTGTTCATGATTTCAAGCCAGGCACAATCTTCTTCATCCATATCGTACTCAACCATCTCGTCCAACTCCTCAGCTGACTTTTCTATGAAACGATAATACGAGCTCGGTCTTTCGGGAGCATCCGCGCATTCATAATCGTCCGTTTTCTCAACGATCGCCTCGGGTAAGCGGAGTTGGGCATCGGTCTGATCCTTCGCTTTGCCCTTGGCCGCCTGAAAGTTTGGGAATGATGATGAAAGTTCGTCTTGTGTCTCCGTATGCGAGCTAAGGACGTGTTGGAGCCATCATCATCTTCCGATCGTTCTCGTCATCGGGTAAACTCACCTTGCTCGGTCGACTTCGTTTCCCTTTGCCAGATTTTTGTGGGGACTTGGGCTTGTCTGGCTGACGGGCTCCTTCGGGCGTTGAGACGTTTCGTTCGGAACTGAGAACAATGTTCAGCGGTTCTTCGATGTTCAGACGGTAGAGACCGCCTTCAACTTCGATTTCGACGACTTTCTGCGCCTCGGCATAAGTGAGACCTTCACGAGGTTGCTGCTGGCCACAGTTTTTGCCTGCGGACATCGGGGATGCGGTCCGGCCCAGTTGATTCATACTCTGACCGCTGCCTTGGCCCTTGGCCGGTTCGAGAAGACGCATTTTGGAGTGGCTTGCCTTTGCGGCCGTTTGACTCTGGAGAACCGAGGAGTCTCCGACCACCGTCGAGGCTTCATTCGGCTGAGGCATCGCGTGGAGTTTGTGTTTTGAATTGTTCAACTGTTGAGGCGGCGACATCTGCTGGCCTTCGTCGAGCAGCTCCGCCGGTGGCGGATTCCTCGAGTTCTGCTTGACGTCTTGCGTCGGCTGTTGAGCGTCACCCTTGAGCGCTGGTCTCAGCGACTGTTGGGGCGACCGTAATCGATTTTGCGGCTCAGAGTTCCGTTGCACTTTCTGCTGATGTTGCGACGTCCGGAACCGCGGTCGGACCCGAGGCCCTTCCTCTGGCGGAGCGCTTTTACGCGGATCCGATTGGGATTTATGCTGCGGGGATCGGAATCTCTGGACAGCTTCTTCTTGGAAACTTTGCAGCTCTTGAATTTTATCCGCTGGCTGCGGACTTTGATTTCTGTTCCGGTTCGTGATGTTGCGATTCTTTCGAGGAGATTGCAGTTTTTCACCGGCGGCGGCGACTGCGACGTTGGCGTGTCTCGAATTGAAGATGTGGAATTGAATACCGGAGAAAGTTCTGTACTCCCGGTCACACTGGCCAATCGGACAATTATAAGGGGGATTTTGTTTCCTCAGGGAATCACAGATGAGCTTCAGCTGAGCGGGATTTGAAGACATGCTCTAAATTCCGATCATTACATAACTTCTCTCAACGATTCCTTCACTCGAGCCGCAGTACTTGGCAGAGCTCTACGGTTGATGAATTCGAACGAAAGACGAGGTGCTCCCCTCTGGACAGGGACGTCGACGATGCGAGAACGACCTCCGGAAGAAGTACGCTCTGAATCTCCGAGCTCCTAAGGCTGCAGACGAAGCTGGTTTCAATCACCGAGAGATATCTGCGCACGAACCTCCAGAGCCGAAGGGGGGCCCGAGCTCGATCAGACCCTGAACAGCCGCGCTTTGACAACCGGTTCCAGTGGACACGAGTAGAAACTTGGAACTGCTACTTTGCGGAGCGACGCCGTCGACATTCCAAGTAATATTCCGGAACACCCGGAATTCTGGTAATGAAACGCAGCACACCGCTCCCGCCTTCCCTGCGCGGGAATGAGGGTGTCCGAACAGTTCTTCTCACCGCAACTTACTCTTTCAGGAGAATGGAGCACTTCGAGGGGCAAGCTTTCCCGAGGTAGCCTCCAGCCTTCAGGTTCACCGAATCGTTCGCGCCGGAAGCTCCGGCGCCGCAACCCGCATCTGCAGCAAATGAGCTGTCACCGGTGTTCGTTCCGCGAGCCTCAAGGAACAACCACGATATTGATACCGCCACCGCACAGGGTTCGAACAAGTTCGAGCACTTCTTGGCGCCGATGTGGGCGGAACTCCAGCTGCCCGTTCACCTCTCCTCTCGATTCCGAAGCGATGAGGGTAGATCGCTCTGATGGAAAATAGCACCCTCTGTGGAAGCACCCCGTTCGATCGAGCAGTCAGTCGATGTCCACGGTGAATCCGCCGCAACCTATTCGATCGCCGAGAACGAATACACAAGCTCCAGCCGATCGGCTGGGTTCACAGGATTTGATGGCCGTCGCCGACGAGATGAGCTGCGGGCGCACAGGGAACGATCCAGTTCATTACTGACGTTTCACGCAAACGGAAGCCACAAGTTTCGCCGTCGTTCGCATTTCCGAAGTCTCGATGCCGACGCAGGTTGCCCGCTAAGATTGTGGGTTGAGTCTAGGACCTCCAGCATGCAAGCGGGTACGCACGCATACCTGGGCCGACCAGGGCCACTTTCCACTTCGATTCCAACCGCGACCACAACTTTTTGTCGTTAGCTGCGGAAAATATTTGTCTCTGGTCCGTCTCGAGAGAATATACGACATTCGCCCTCATAACAAACCGAGCCTCCATGAAAATAAGAGAGGGAGGAGGTGAGAAACGACGCGCGAAATTCGAAATTTCGCCGAGGTCCGATCACAGATCAAGGGGGAGCACGGCGCAGGCTTTCCCGAGGAAACAGTGGACGGAGTCTTGGCTTTCTCATAAGGATATTGGGGGCTTCGCATTTACTTCAGACACCACGTAGCTCGGGTCGTGAGCTTTCACCCTGTCATGAGAGGAAGTTCTCTTCCTCCCTGCTTCGCTCATCTCTCTATTCCTTCCGTTCTCCGAACCCTCCTCGAACTCATGCTGCTCAATCTCTTGCCCTCCTGCCATTGCTGTTATCCCGCCGACATTCCGCAGATATGGAATCTGTGCCTGGATGAGTCCGGAAGAGGCACTCGAGGCTCGACTTCACGAGTGGAGATCCTCGTGATGAGCTATCCACCATCATGAAGATACTCCGAGAGGAGTTATCGATGATGCCCTACGTGGAGCATATCTCCAATTCGGGAGGAACTCCATCTCCTGCCGATGAATACGGGGCTGGAACATTCTCCTCTCAATAAGTCGCACGATCTTTCTAGGGGAGGTCACCTCCATCCGATATCAAGCCATTTCCGTTTTTGGGCCCCTCCACGAAAGGGGTAGACTCTGATCGAAGCCTCTCGTTGGATTCTAACCTTCGTCAATTATAGAACATCAAGTAATTCAAGCCTTTGACGGGATCTTATCCACGAATATTCGCCTCCCACCGGCACATCCATAAACGAATCCCCGAAACTTTGTGCATTCGATCACTCGCATTCCATTCATATTCCGAGCATGCATGATCGCATCGTGTATGAGCCCCCTGCAATCTTCCTAGCAGGGAAGCGTCGTCCAAAGAGGAGTCCGGGCTTGTACATCTATAGGTATATATATTCGTCGTCTCTAAACTCTCCCCCAAAACTCTCTTTTGGGACATTGTTCGCGCAAAGTATCGCCACCCGCGGGTACTCTCGCGCACCCCCGTATCGCAGGAACTCCCCGAAAGCATATTTTCGCCTTCTCGCCTCCCACCGGTCCCGTCTCCAGAGGTCCGAACCGAAGATGTTCATGACCTCGGCACATCTCACTCAGAGTCGAGGTTCCAGAATTCCTCATCAGGTCGTAGCTATGATAGCCACTCTCCACTCATTCGGCAACGATGAAGATCGATAACCTGAAGTCCACTGTCATCCTCTTGACCCAGCCGCCAGCTCCATAGGACCGTTCCCCCATCGATATGGCAGTGGGCTGCGGCCGATCATCTAACATGGAAAGAGGCGACGGAGAGATTGAGCATATTAAATTTATCGTATGACTCGCATGGTTCCCTCCGCACAGCATCATCATCTTCATCAGGTACCTGACTTCTGATTCTTGGGGTACGCGGCAAATCAGGAAAGGCGTTTGTCAAGCATGAAGGCTCGAAGTGCTGCGTGCCTGATGCTGTGCGAAGGAAATGATGCGAACCATTTGATAGTTATACTCTATCCTCCGGTCGCCTCTGTCCATGTTAGATGGTCGGCCGGATGCGCTTGCGCGGGATTTTTCGGAGGGAGAGACATTGTATAGCCACCTGTGAGCCTTCTCTTGAGGCACGGGCCGAACGCCGGGTTTCCGTTCGTACAATCGTACGAATGATCCGAATGCTGATGATATCTTCACTGTGTTGCGATCATAGATTCATGGACACAGATATGGATCGAAGAGACTTGAAAATAATTCAGTCGAGTGAATCGAACTGGATTGAGCCGCGCTTGAATAGGGCTGCGGTGGCTAGCCTGGAATCTGGAATCCTATAATGAGGATCTCGGCACGTATCCAGCAAGCCTTATGTCTCGATTGGCACCACCCGTCGATCCACGGGAATCTGAACCAATACCCGAGGGCGGATTGCGATGAATTTCGGGAAGCAGTTTCGTAACTGCATCACGGTGAAACTCTGGCGCTCGCAGTATCACTCAGCTGTCGGATTCGGGAACTTCCGTCACTGAAATGGTTAGAGTTACGGGGATGAGGCGAATTTTCCCTAAGATGAAGCCCCCACCCCCTCCGCTTGCGTCCCCCTCCTCCCTGTGGGAGGAGGACTCGATACATCGTACCCGAAGCACTGATCGCTCCCGCCTCCGTCATGTTCGGAACATGCTGGATGCACCGTTGACGCCAACCAAGAATAGCAAAACCTGCATCGAGGTGAGATGTGAGGAGATCGATGGAGGGCGTGGCAGATGACAGTCGTCGATTCGTCTCTACTGATTATCACCAATTCATTCCTTGAATCTACAGGTTCGAAAGCGCTGCCTATGAAGCGGTATGGGGACAGTCAGACGAAACGAGGCGACAGCGCCGGCTTCTCCCGAAATCTCATGTAAGGCAAAGATCATCAAAACCATTCCTCCCATCACACACAAGAGAAGAGAGATTTCACTTTCAAGAAGTAAATTCGGCGCTCTTCTCCGATGGACAAAGCTTCGGATATACAAATTTATTCATCCGACGTATATCTTATCGGGGCCTGCTCCATTTGAGATTGAGTGCGCCGCTCCTTTCAAACTCCTCCACGAACCCGTCTGCGGTGTGCGCGTCGCTCCGACTCCGAAACACTCGCTCTGCCTGCTGCCGCTGATTGCCGTTGCAGACAGCGATCAGACACAGAGGAGAGGAGCAGCAGGCAGCAGCGCATTGGAGAGATTCATAAAGCACGAGAGAGGGGAAGAGAGACCGCGGAGGAGAGAAGTGAAGACGACAACGAGTGACGGCCATTTTGCTTTTACTTTAACGTTACTGATTGTTGTGTTTTCTCAAGTCTGCAGCGGCGTTCCGAGGCGCCTGGCTTCAAAGATCGACCGATTGTTTGAGCTCTATTTCGAGAATCGATGTGTGAGTGCAAAAGGGGTGGGTGAAATCGAGGCCTACGACTCCGCTGTCAGGGCCGCTCTCCGTGTCGCAGATCGTGTGAGTGTGCATATGCGAGTGAGTGCCGCGGTTGCCGCCACCACCGTCAGTCACTGTGGTCGCTCACTCCACAACCAGCTAGGAACTGGAGTGGTAATGTGTTGTTTTCTGCAGTGAACTCCGGGCCGAGCGACGACTTGAAAGTTCGACCAACGCTACCGTGTCGAGGAAGGGACCTTCCTCCGAACAATACGGGAGCGTCTCCAACGAGAAGCGCCATCCCAATCGAGCGTAGAAGAGCGATTTGTCAGCCCGACTAACTGACTGAGCGGCGACCGATCGAAGGTTTCAGGAGCGCAAACACAAGCGGAAACACTACCTATCATCATCATCATTACCGTCGGACCTTTTGGAACTCGAAGAAATGACAGCCGAATTCGAGGAAATCATAAGTCTCCTGATCGAGATCTGCTGATCGCTCGGCTCCCCCACTCCGATCGACGTGATTGTCCCTAGTTCGACGCATGGTTCGATTTCATCTGGAATCTCAACTGTCGTCTGTTGCGCTCGTATATCCGAGTTCGAATTCGGTGAACTTATCCGGGCAGAACCCTGATCTCTAACTATTTCTCCAACCGCGCCGGGAACCCCTGCGGAGGAGAAAATCCCGCTGTCCTGAGAATCAGGAGTAGTCGATGAGCTCGATACGCACGGAATCGACGCGCGACGGGAGTCAGTGCAGTGAACGGAGGACTGGATCCTAGGATCATCCAAACGCCACTTTGTGGATCCGTGGAATCACATCTCTCGAGGAAGACCGTGTTCCGCTCGTGGAACGTTCCGCGGACAACTCGGGTCTTGAGTTTCGCCGAGCTCAGTAAAGCAGAGGAAGGACGTCGGGTAAAGCTTCCTCTGGGAAAACTGCACTCCTCCCGTTTTAGGACTGCTGTATACGCTCATCGTTTGCAGAAAAAGGTTCGTATCTCGGTCGCGCAAACATACGATCTAGGGTCAAAACCTCTACCGCTCGCCTCGGTCCACGCAGGCACATCATGTGATCGTTGGCCGCAGGAATTCGTAATCATGAATCATCCCTGAGAGGCTCAGAGTATTCGACGGTTCATGAAAATCGATGTTTCTTTGCAGGTTCCTCTGCAGAATGCTGCGGGGCAGATCGCGAGACAGAGCCGAAGCGAGTACAGGCAAATAAACTCCCCGGAAATCGAGTCTGGTGGTCCTCCACCGCAGGATGGACTCGAATAACGACGTGGATTTCGACGCCTACTGGGAAGAGGAGAGCCGCAACAAGTACCGGAATCGTATTCGCGTTGGACGACAGTATCAGGCTTCGGTACCTCCGCTTCTGAGACCCGGTGAAAGTGACGACCGTCAACTGGAAGATCTCGAAACGCAGTACTGGAAGCCGTCGTTGGACGACGAAGCGATCCACGAGTATCTTTCGATGGCGAAAGCTGTCAGCGTGTTCAGCTGTAGCCTCGAGTCCCAGAGTCACGACAATCTCCAGAGCGCCATAAGAGGCTTGACGGAGTTCGTAATGAAACACCATGATCCGTGCCACCGGGACGCCGGTTGCAGAATGTCCGTCAAGTCGAGTTGGACGAACAAAGAGGCCGAGCTCCTGGCGTGCGCTCTGGAGCGATGCGAGAACGCCAATCGGAAGAAAATGGCCGAAGAATACGACGAGAGCGGCAGCGACGACGCGGACGGGGTTGACGAAACGAGCGATATCGAGGCGGATTGCCAACCATCGTCGACGTCGGCCCTCGAGCTCCCTATCGATGTGAATCCACCGTCCGAGATCAAACCAGTCCCGGCGAGGGTTATCGGTCGGAAAACCGACTCTCCGGTTTCGGATTCTGGTTCGCCGACTGGACCAGCCCAGGCGACCGGGACAGCGGCGGGCGGCGCGACCCCCGTAAGCGCGAAATCACGCGCAGATGGCGCGAACACTAGTCAGCAGCTTCAGGACCCGTCGGCCGCGGGCCAAGGAAGTCTGAAGTTCTATTTGAAAGGCCAGCTGATTCTCAAGTTGAACGCCCATCAGGAACGGAAAACCTGGGTCGAGGACCCCGACAATCCAGCGGCCAGTAGCGGCCAGTTCGGTGGAGTCGCGGGGGCTCTCTCCGGGGGCCAGAACAGGCGGAAAGCTGGAAGGAAAGCCAACAGGAGTTCGACAACATCAGGACCCATTTCCTGGCTAGATCGCGGCTCGCCTTCCCTGGAGAGCACGAGCTCTTTGGACTCGCACAACAGTACTTCGACGTCGGCGACAACCCCGACGTGTGCAGCAGCTACGCCGACGCCGTCGACCACAGCCGCAACTTCAACTGCGGCTACGAACGCATTGCCCGCGGGAGGAAACAACGGCGGTGGCGGCGGCGGGAGCAGTAGTTCAAGTAGCAGCAGCTGTAGTAGCAGCAGTAGTAGTGCCGCTTCGTCGGCTGCCAACCCAGTGTCCCAACAGCCCGCTCCCCTTGACCTGTCCTCGCAACAAAGTTAGTTAGTGCTTGAGAGTCGAGGAAACGACGTAGATGAGATCATCACCGCCACAATAATGATTCTCATAGCTGACTGCGGGCCACTTGTTGAGTGGCTGTACGACACGTCGGAGTGGTTCGAAGTCTGGTCGAGTCACTCGAATGAATCGCCGCCCCACGGTTTCTGTTGTGATCAAGCTTGACGCCGCTAGGATTTTTCTCTTTTGTTACTTGTCGATCTCTGCCATTCGAGTGGTCTCCGGTCGGAAATCGGTGTAGTCGACTCGAAGCTGTGTAGACAATGGTCTTCTAAGGGCAGCTTGTGCACGCCTGACGACTCCATGTAAAGTTTGTGTATATTAAAGATTGTGACTTCTGTACGAGATTCTTCTCGCGAGCTCTGAATGCAGACACGTAGAGACAGAGCGAGGACAGATTACCATTCAATAAATAGAGTGAGTCGGCCCACGAAGTTCGGCTCGAAGAATATAACCTTGTCAGTGGATTTCATCCCGGAACGTGAGAATGGAGCCGGGTCTCACCTCGTTCCCAGAAGCTGTCGACCCGTCTTGGAGACCGTGTCTTGTCAACTCCGAGTCTTTCTCCAGCGTGGTCGCCACAGGGAACAGCTGACGTTCCGGCAGACCTCTCTCTAATCTGGATATTTGCATCTTTACGAAAACTATCGCCGTTTCTTGAGACCCGGGGAATCGGTCCCACTGCCCCATATCTTCCCTCGATGGGATGAACTCCCCGAATCTTGAGATATGTCCGCGATTAACATTGATCGATCGATTGTCGTCTGCTGAACCTCCGATGGGTCCCCCGATGGGTTCCCCCATGGGCTGTTCGAACATATGAGGAAGCCCCGCCATAAGGGGTGATGATTCGGCTGGTCGTGGGCGGATGCTTCTCCGCGATTTGCTTCATACCTACAATCCCGGGTCTCCTCTGATTGACAGAATTCCTTCGAGAGCAGCCTCTGTTGAAACTGATACTATGGGACATTGATGAGTTCAGAGCTCGCGCTTCCTCGAGGAGCCCCCGGGAAAACGGGGTACTCGTCCAAAACGCTGGCCCCGGAATTGGCCAGGATTCCCTCCCTATGCCGGTGGACAACCTTGCTAAAAATCCGCACCCTGTTCCTTCCATATCTTCCCTCCCTCCAGCTCTCAACCATTCTTTTCTGCGGGACCTATCCTCTCCAAGCAGTCGGGGAATCTTCTCGGATTGAGCAAAGGATACTTTTTCGGCCCCGCCTCCCGAGTCCTACCGTACATTTTCTGGCTAATGTATTCCGGCTAGTCGTCTGCGAGTCTCGGAGCAGATGAGATCTTGGGCTCAGTCACGTTCACGGAGCGGCTTCGATCTCATCACCAATATCGCTGATCACCGATATCTGACTTTACCAATCCGACAACTAACCATTAGCGAATTGTGATCCGAGACTCCTGTCATGGTATCATCAATCATGAGGGCTGGGAATCCATCGCGGGATTCACGGTCGCGCCGAAAGCCGTGGATTTTCCTTCTTCCTGAGATGCCGTGAATTTTTTTTCACTCCTCTACGAGATGTTTCCCGAGTTCAAAGAGCTGTTTCCACGAGGAGATAAGGATTCCACTATCGGAAGAAGAACCTGGTGTTCGAGAGACGCCGAAAAATGGATCATCAGCACAATAATATCACTTACCCGGCATTCTCAAGGTCGAAGATTCACGGAACCGTGAATTTTCGGAAAAAGTGCCGTGATGAATTCCCAGCCCTATCAGTCATCACATGTTGGAATTCTCTGTAATTTTCCAATCGTCTCGCATAGGTCAGCTTCTGACCGAATGATTTCGGCTCCACAGAGAAGCGGAAATAAAAGTCGCATAAAATGCGACTATTCTCAGTCGCAAAGTTTCCTAAGAAGCGGGAATGCACAAAATTTCGGTCCGCAAATTGGACATCTTTTCCCTCTCAGCCACGGGTTATTGATGAATGACGAATCACTTTCCTGATTGAGATATGACACCCTCGTCTGACCTGTCGTGTGCTGAATCCCAGAGCACTGATTGTATATGATTTGAGACAACCGGTTACATCGAATAGCATGGAGCAGGCTTGTCAGAATGCGAGGGAGTCTGTTCATAAGTCCCCGTAATCACATGCAGACATGCAGCGAACGTGCATCACGATAGAGGCGATGGAACCATCATCTTTCGAGGGTAAGGGTTGGCAGTTTATTGATCACTACAAATGAATGGTACCCTAAGTCGACGCAGTTCTCGGAATGATGTCTCTTAGTTCAGATAAACTGATTCGACAATAGAGAAATGTTGCTCCTTGATAGTAATGTTGTATAGCAGAGATAGTAAGAGATATCAGGTTGACACGATTGGCATCTCCTGCCTGCAGCGCTGTCCGGAGTTCCTGAACAAGAATGCCACAGAGCTCAGAAGGGTTGCCTCACCAAAGAGAAATCAATGTGCCAGCGGTTCGACAGGCAGATAGACCCGTAGGAGGGACAACCGCCGCGCCGTCTCACCTCTGTGCGATGATGGTCTCGAAGGATCTCGGGCCCTAAGTCCATTATCTCGATTAAGCCCAGATACGGACCGAAGTGTCCCACGATGCTGTGATCGTGGCCACTCCGTTGGGCGACATCGCCATCGATGAAACTCGCGCATCGTGACCCCAAAGATTGCCAAGATGGCTTTCGTCGAGGTTCGGCGGCGCGAGTACGTCCCAGATGTGCACGGTGTCGTCGTCCGAACCCGCGAGAATCAATCGTCCTGTGAAATTAAAGAGGATATTGCTTGGATAGACCACATCTGTCACATTAATGGGATCAGTCCTTATGGAATTCAATCCTTCGGACGCGGAGAAAGCATGTTGATCTCACTCATTCAGCCGTACCGGATTTGGAGTTAGCAACGCAGGTGAACGCGGTGCCTTTAGCAGGATCTCGATACGAAGCCATTTCAACATCTGAACGAATGTCAAAAAGTTTGCAGGTCTTATCTTCGGAACAAGAAGTGAAAACGTGCCCGTTGGTCTGGAACTGGAGAAAGCATTGATGATGATATGGCGAAAGCAGAACAGACGAAGTTGAGATGTTTCTCGCTTTTTTACTTCTATCGAACAACTTCGCTCACTCAGTCGCAGCAACCGTACAGAGGAAAACAGCGTCCGACGAAAGAACTAAAAGTTCTTCTGCTGAGAGCAACGTCGGCCGGTCATAAATGACGATGGAGTCAACGAGGTCGATGAGAGGGCTAATTGTATATTCTTGAGGAGCGTGCGGTTTCGACAGTAAATTCCTCCTCGCGCTTAAATACTCTCCGGATGAACATAACAATCGAACTTGTCACCGAGATGGGGATATGAACGAAGAGTAGGGGGGTACATACGGGATGCCGCGATGCGGTTCTCCTGGAAACCGTCCGCGGACCCCAATTCGAGTCAAGATTAGACAGGGAGGGAAGTTGGAGCTTATCCGTCAGATGGGGGCGTCGATTACGTCGAACGGACCTGACCGAGAATAATCCTCGGATATTTACCCGACCGTTCCAGCGACTGAGCAGCATACACCCATGCATATGCACCCATCGAGACGCGTACCGGAGCCGCCGCCTATGGAGTCGACTTTCGAGAGAGTCAAATCACTTACGCTGACATCGTTCACGTCCATGTCGTGTCCTTCGAACGTCTGGCGACATAGGTCATTTGAACGAAGATCGAATAATTTGCAGGTCTTGTCCATTGAAGCGGTTACGAATACGTTCGAATCCGTCGGTTGGATACTGAGGCCAATCACGTCGGCTTCATGGGCGGTATATTCCTGGACCTTCTTTCCAGATGGTATGTCGAAGACGTACCTGTATTGGAGAGATACTTGACGAACCGTTCGCAAGTCATGAGATATTTGCCGCCCGGAAACCGACCTCCGAATCGTTCTCGAATAATTCAAAATATGAAGCCTTACACTTTGGTGTCGGCGGATCCAACGACGATTCTTTCTTGATTCACGAACACACAACAGCTGAGATAGCCCTGGAGGCCGGCGAGCTCTCGGACGAGAGCGGCACCCAAGACGCCGCCTTCGTGGTTCCCACCCCATTTCTTTTCCAAATCGTAGATAGTGCACATGTTGTCCATTCCGCCGACTGCGACGAATCTGCCAGAGCTTTCGAACGCTGCTCCCATGATCCAGGTTGTGCGAACAGGTATGATGCGCACCTGCGTGGTATTTCCAGTCATAAATTCCCAGGAGGGTATTTTCTTTCTAACTGGCACTCTCGAGCGAGTGTTTGGCCCAACGCGCTCCTGGCACTCATTCCGTTGAGGGGGCAGAGTGTGGCGCGTCGTCTAACTAAGCCTAATGGTACTTTGGGAATCTCAAGGTTTCGTGGGGAGATTCGCGCTGTGCGCAAGCGGCCAGTGGCCTTTGGTAATTATCCTTATTCAGTATCGAACTCGAAGAGTTTAAGTATGAGGATCGTCGGCTTCAGCAAAGCGCAGCTCTGACATTCCATCGTCAATACTGCGTTTATGAGCTCCGAGGCAGCCGTGAAGTTCGGAGCGATAACCAAATGTGAACCGATTGAGATGCGAAGTAAGCCTCCACCCGGATGCAGCAGCAGGGAGGATAATTGTGTAAGCCGATCGCTTCTCGACAACAGACACGCTCGGGTCAGCTTCCCGTTCGGCTCACTCGCGCGGTGTTAGACAAGCGCGACCGCTGAACATCAAGTTGACAGGCTCGATCGGGATACTGACTGAAGTGATGATGGCGACAGCGTCTACCAAGCAGAACACCGAAGACCTGACTCACCTTGTTTCCGCTCCAGGTGTCCCAAATGATGAGTTTTCCATCCAGAGACGCCGAAACCGCATGTCTGAAATCGAGTCGTCAGTCAGTCGCGTATTCATTCAGCATCTCGAGAGCCATTCCTCAATCGGCGACTTTATTTCGCCCCTCTTGTCGTGAGCTGGTGGCCAACAGCCAGCAGGGCAGCGCATGACGTGTTGTGCCCATGCACATATACAACTTTAATACCGAGCCGGTATCTTCTTATCTCCTTATCTCGGTGTATAGCCTCTCGGCTTCGTGAGCACAAGCGGAATCTCTTGAATGCTCTTCAGGGTTCTTCGGAGGATGGAGGATCATTCATCAGCGGAAAGTTCGTCTCTAAAGAAGTGCTCGTATAGAGCGGCGGTCCCCGTTAGCAGTATCGATGGGACCCTTGACAGACAGTTCTCCAGAGAAGTACAGTTTCGCTCCGCCTCCGTACAAGGATCGCCCCGTTCTGTCCGTGTGATTCGTCCCTATTTTCCTCTGTTTTCTGAGGATTTGCCCTCGGGATACGCGACGACGGCTGCCGCGGCCGCCAATACGTGCAGGGGCGTACGCAGGGGGGGGGGGCTAAGGGGGCTATAGCCCCCTCCCAGATGGTTTCTTCGTAATGCTGTAGTATAGGAGCGAATCGCCATATTGGATTTCAGCCCCATGCGGAGACCCGATCTAGCCCCCCCCCCCCAAGAAAAATCCTGCGTACGCCACTGAATACGTGGCGGGATGAGCTGGGACCGGTAAGTCTATTTTTAATATGGGGAGTTTGTGATCGTTGAGCCGCCCGCTCGCTCCCATTGTTCAATCCACCGCTCAAGTGACGTCCCCCTAACCACCTGTTGTTGTTCATCAAACTCTCCGATAGCAGCTACAGCTCCCTCATAGATCATTGAGTGGGCCTGATGCGGTAGTATTTTTTTTTGCTGAAGCGACGCCAGACAGTGCGCCTGCCGCTCCTTGAGTCGTGATTCCGAGGAGCGTGTAGCGTCGCAAGGCGCGCTCCAAGCCGGAAACCATCGAATGTAGAGATTTCAGTCGCGGTACGAAGTTTCGGCCGGTCGCCTTCTCGTTGACGCTGCACATCGCTGCCTTGGACAGATCCACGATTTCGTCGAGACATAAGTGATTCCAGGAATTATCTCCATCGGAGTTCGTGGTACTGCTCGGCTGACCGGAAGCGCTCCTGATGAGGAGAACTGTCCGCGTCGCAGTGAGATCTATCCGGAGAGTTTGAAAAGCCGCCGAGCTCGATTAGCGTCAATCTCGTCCGCTATTGATCAGATCCCGAGATATGGGTTATTCGGATAGCTCTGCGAGACTTGACTGGGCTTCTCGGGTCCGGTGCCTCCGTGTTGCTTCCGCCCGGGGGCGGAAAACGAGGATGGCGACGATAACAACAACAGCGTTGCACATACAATCGGCTTATATATTTTTAGCAACCGTGGCCCGGACGCCGCAGCCGCTGTCGTATTAGTTCGATGGAGCCTTCACGGACTGACTAGCTTGTTGGCTGGACGGCCGCTTGTAGGTTCTTTCCTTGGACGACGCCGAATGTGGCTTTTGACCATCTCTTGAGCCTGCCGCTCTCACGGCAAGTCGTAAGCGACTTTGAAAGTGTAACATTCCTCCAGTAGAGGAGAGCAACAACGAGCGCGCGTTGAACACACGATTACCGCAGAGAGAGAGATCGTTGACCGGCCGACGATGACTGACTGTGCTTTTTTTCGCGAGTCCCGACGCTCTGACACTGGTACACTGTTTTCATGGAGGCGGAGTGGCTGCCTTCCAGAATTACGGAACGGCGTCCCGATTGGAAAATCAGGGGGGGGGGAGGAGGCCGCGAGAAATCGTGGCTTCAGTTTTCCTCGAGTGCTACCCTGAACGCGGGAGCTTGTAGTTAAATGACCAATCAGTAGGGCTCCGGTAATATTCGAGCTCGCCCCTGCCCCTCCGGTGCTTACTCCTCTCGGCCCATGGGCCGGGGGCATGAGACAATTCGTTGTTCTCTGCATGTCCCAATTCGACGGGGCGAGAGACTACCTAGTTGATTTGTCGGAGTTCAAATCAAGACAATCTACTCACTCAAAATAGACCCTCGAGCGGACGAGCAATCGAAGCACTCACTTGGAATCTCCCGCGAAGTCGACAGCGACAACCTTCGCTATATGGCCTTTGAGGATTTTGCGACCCTTGAGTCGAAGTCCTGGGAGCGGAGAACCCGTTCCGACGCAAAGTGATTTGAAGTCGGCGTCCCGTACTTGGGCTTGTGATGCTGTGATTCGCGCACGAAGCGATTCCAACTCGGCCATCAATTCGTGTTCGGATGGTTCATCTTCCGCCTCGAAAACATACAGAAAGATACACTTATTTAATGGCTCCTCCACTAATTCATCTTCGCGCAGCTGTTAGCCACTCGGACGCAGAAACGCCAAGCGAAACTTGGACGGTGCTTCTGATCTCGACGATCTTTTTCACGGCACCGTGTGCGGCCCGTTCCGGCCCGTTCAACGCTCAGTGATACAGTGATATGTCATATTCGATTCAGGATCCGAAGGCGCCTCGAAGCGAGGATTCGGCGACCTGTATCATCTTCGGCAAATTCAGTGACAGGAAGCTCGCTCACAGCAAAGCAAGGCGAGCCGATTGCCCATTCGAGATAAGCGTATCACTCACCATGATTTGAGAAGTGTGACTGTCGAACTCGGTGAGATCGGGGCTTCGATGGTCTCAGCGCCTAGCGTTCCGTAAAGTAAGATCTGCACTCCTTGTAGACTTCGTTCGTTCCAGCTTACCAATCAGGTATGTTCGGGTGATTTTTTTAACGGTGTGTGTTTGTAAATAAGTTCGCCTGTCTGTGAGCTTCTAGAATCCGTGGTGATTGTTGCTGCTGCTCTCGACGTCGATTCTGCCGCTGCTGTTTCTACTTTGCTCTTGCTTGACGTCTTTGTTGTTGATGTTGCTGCTGCTGCGGCTGCCACTGCCGTTGCCACCAACGTCGGTTGCTTCGCTCGTTCGCTTAGTCAGTCAGTCAGTCAGTCGGTCGCTTGCCTGCTCGCCCGACCAGCCGGCTGGATGGTAGGTAGGCTGGTCGCCGATGTTGTCGTCGCTGCTGCTTCCCTGTATCGGCGTTGGCTGCCGCACTTTAGGCTCTTACTCACTCACTCACTCACTCACTCGCTACCAACACTGTTTCCTCCCTCTATTCCTGCCTGCCCGCCCGCCCGCTAGTTTGCTTTTCTGCCCGCCTGATTGCCTTAATGCCGGCCGGTCAAGCCAGCAGTCAGTCAGTCGGTCGGTCGGTGAGCCTACCAGGTGAATGCAAGCGTGCCTCGTCGCTGTCCGCGAGTCGATCTTGCGTCGACGCTCACACTTAAAGGTTCCCTCTCACCTGCGGGAGGATGTCGTTGGTCTACTTGACGACCGCCGCGCTAGGTCGCGGTTAGACGGGCTCTCTGCCTCGTTTGCCTCCTTGTTTCCTCGGTGTCGATTCGTCGCTGTGGTTCCGCTTTTTCAGTCGCCGCGATTTAGAGCTGCTTGTGCTAAATGCCGTCGGCTTTATCGTTGGCGGGTACTAGACGACTTTGCGAGTGCCTCGTGACGAAATCCAGGCTGCTCCTACGTTCATCGGTCAAACGGTCGGGGAAACCGCGCGGTTTGCGATGACTACGGAATCGAGGATGATGATCCTCATGGATTCGATATTCCCGGAGAGGATGATCCACCTGGGAGTCCGTGGCGATTTATTGATGCTTCAAATGCACACGGTGTCACAGAGAGAGTCCGAGGCACCAGCCTGATCCTCTGACAGTCGGGAAGATATGCGGTCGGAATATCCGATTTCTGGATTGATGTCATGGAGCACAAGTGAAGACGCCTTGGAAATCTCTTGCCACGGTACGTGCGGCGGCCGCGGCGGCGGTTGACGCGATACAGCAGAAGCACCGGATTCCACCACAGATGCGCTGAAAATGCTTGTCCTTGCCTGCTACCGGTATCCACGGCAGTTACTGTGAGAATAGAATCGCCACGGACGAGAGTCCTCGCTCGGCCTCGAGTTCTTCAAGGGACCTCTCGACCGTCGGAGCCACTTTTGCGCACAGCAATCGGGAGTCTGCTGTCTCAAAATGTCCAAGAACGGGGAGAAGAACGAGCCGCCGATTAGAAGATGAATGGTACAAGAGATTTTGCTCCGATCGCTGCTTCGGCGTCAGCTCCCAACTGAGAAGATACTCTGGCGAAGCATCGACTGTGCAGTCGAATTCTCGATCAGTCTTGGGGTCATCCGCTGGTGTCGGCCCCGGAAGACTCGAAGGCTTTAGTGACTCGTGGATTTCCGCGAAATTCGCTCAGATCTGTCCGTGGCCAAAGCCGAATTCCTGTCGAATTAATATTTTGCAATTTATCCCGCTGCTCCTCCGGCACTCGTGAGCCGATTCTGGGAGTGGAGCGTTGTACACTGCGAGACGGTTCCGTCTTCGGTGCACGATGATGCGCGTTATCACGGAAACCTTCAAAAAGCCCAATCTGAGCTCAGTGAGTCCGATAGCGATCCCGTCGGCACTTGAATCGCCAGAGGCCGCAACAGCAGCAGTAGCAATAACAGCAACACCGCTGTTGAAACACCACCGATGTTAGAGATGACGGCTTTCGCGAGCGTCTTCAATGCTGCTGTCGCGGTTGTTATTGTTGCTGCGGGCACTGTGGCTGAAACTGCCAGTCGGCTAGCTGCACGGTATAGCGCGGATGCTATACTGCAGATGCTTGTCACGAATCGATCGGAGCGGTAATGCTCTGACGATATTCTCCAGACGACGACCAGAGCGCTCACTTGCGGCTCGACCTCAACTTCACACTGGAACAGAAATTGACAGTTCGAGGTTAGATAAGCGGCGGCGGCGGCAACATCCAGTCAACCACTCGTCTGCGAGTGGTAAGCTCGCTGGGTCGCTTGCCCGCAAGTGAGTCGATCCGTCCCTTTGACGGCAGGCGAGAGAGACTGCCGGTCGGCCGGCCCGACAGCCAGCCGGCAAGCCAACCAGTCAGGCAGTCAGAAATCCACCTAGTCTGTTGACGAGGCAAACGCGAAAGAGAGATCGAGTATGAAAAGAACACATGAACAGCTCAAGTCCTCGGTCGCGAAATTCTAGTCCAATCTACTTTTTCGCGGATATGACCGGGGACCTGCGCACGTGTCTCATCTGACGCCCGAGTCGATTGCTTGATTGATTGGCTTTCTGGCTGGCTGACTGCTTCATCCCTCCCGCAGGAGGGTAGCTCATCATTCGTTGTTCACTCAGACTCTATAGAGGTCTGGTGGGCTCCATCCCTATTCGATCTAAGGCAACATCCTGATGAAATGTCACAGTAGCTAAGAGACTCACTTCTTCACCGATTTGCTCCTGGCGTCTGTTCGGTTCTCAAGCGCGCGCTCGAGTCGAGGAGCGGCACTCGAAGCGTCCCGACAAGGACTGCAAACAAATAATTTGGAACCATTGTATCTCTGATTTGTTCGCGTAGTCTTCTTTCGGCGCCTCGTGGTGACGCTTCTTTTCCGCAGTGCGATCGAATATTTCAACTTGCAGATAGCTTACGTTTAGATACAAGTGCCGTTACTCTCAAACGGGATCTAAACGTAAATATTGAACTCGGACCTTACAATAACAGCAGTAAGATTCGGTGAAAGGAACGAGTATCAACATAAGCGCAGAATAGAGCTCTAGATGCAGTAGCGTACGAAGCGGGGATCGACGGGAACGGTCTCCATCGGGCTCTCGGGACGAAATCTGACCAGTTTTGTGCGGAAGAGGCGATTGTACTCGAAGAAGCTGCACGCAAGAATCGAGAGGGGAAGCGCTCCACTGTCGGAGCGGATGAACCGCAGGAGGCTTCGATTCACGAGGAGCTCCGTGAGCTGATAGTGACAAGAGCAACGACGACGCCGACGCGACGTCGGCTCGCCAAGCATTCGGCGAAAACCGGCAAAACTAATTACCAATCAAGAAGTCGCCTCACTCGACGTGTCGCCGTCGTCAGAGAGCACAACACTGTGAGCTTTTGAGAGTGATCAACATCGCGCCGTGGACTGGCGTGCTAGCTGGTTTCAGGCTCGATATCCGATAGATAGACAAACCAACCAACCAGCCAGCCGGTCAGTCACTCATTCAGCCATCCGAGGTATAAACGCAGCTATTGTGCATGTTCATCTTAATTGGGATACGAATGGCTGCCTTTCTCATTCCTACATGAGATTGTCGGAACGAGACCATTGGTGACAATTAGCCCCGATCGGGCAGCATAGTTATTATAATCATGACTTCCCGGCAAGGATTGGTCGGATGGGCAGCTGGAGAGTTCCACAGATTATCGTCTCAATCACTGAAGTCGCAACTCGATAAGCTGTCGGACATGACCTGTCGTCATATACGGAAAACCTTCCGAGTAAGTTTATGCGGCACGCCCTTCGAAGGGCAGGAATTTCAACGAGGTTGGGGAGAATCGAAAACTATCGAGGGCACCGTGCGACCGAGCACTTTCGGTATTCGCTCCAGCGTCTTACAGATACGTGGAGTTCCTTCTGGAAGGAGCTCCGTACTTTCTCCCGAGCAATCAGTGATCGAGCTTGGGATGCTCGCCTAAGGGAATGAGAGAACGGATTCTAGTCGGCCATCTAGGGCAGCAGCGCAAGGAGAGAACGAGCTAACGCAAGTTTTCAAAAATGCTTGAGCATGCGAACAGCTGAGAGGAGCTATTTTCACCATGACTGAAATAAACAGAAAAAACATCCATGACATGCCAATACCGATGCTGTCTGATATTTTTTTATTATTGTTGCTCATGTAAAATATACTCTCGGTTTAAGGAAACTGATCACGATGCTTCAATAATAATTATAATAACGATAGTAATAATAATAATCAAAGTAATAAAGTCAATCAGTTCGCGAGATGAGCAAGGAAACGAGGTGGATGCAAGAAAGAGTATGTTATGAGCTATGACGGAGACAAATCAACGGAGAGGAATGACCTCATCCGGCGGATCGTATACGAGTTCCCTCTTCCTTGAGCTTCCCCTCGGGCTGGGCGATGGGATCCCTCTTCCCCAGTCTTCGTCATTGAGCAGCAATGGTGGGCTGAGGCTGTCAGAAAATCAGTCTAGATGCAGAGATCATCATCCACTTCGAAAACGTTCGAATCGGAGAACTTGGGGGAGCTCGTCGGCCTCACTGAGAAAAATCTCGATCTTCTTTGGTTGTCCATTGCGGCATCTTATGCTCAAACCGTTTCCGACGTTCACAGAGCCACAGAGGTCGTCGTGACTTGAGCTGCATGTAACTAAGAGCCCTGAGCCCCTCAACGCTGTTCTCACAGCGTCCTGAACGTAGGATCTCTCCCAGTGCTTCCCGAAACGTCAACAGTATGCGATGACGACAAATGCTCAATTCGGCTTTCGGAGTTCCAAGATGTTTTCTGATGATTCCGTGCCTTCGCCCGTCCACAGCAACCTCAGCTTTCTTCAAGTCCCTGCCGAAGAGTACGCTTGTCGAACATCGCTGCAAATCTCCATGTCGCGAGTGCGGGAACTTGCACTCGTCCGCATAGATGAATTCCACGGCTTCGAGAGGCATTTGATGACGGTCGACCAGAGCCCTCCGTAGGGAAACTTCGTCGTATATTGAAGGACTGCCGATTACGATTCCTCTGAGGGGAATCGGACCCACCAGAAGTATCGACAGCAATGAGCCCTGAACACCGCAGGCGATCCAGCGAGCGATTTTGTCGCTACAAGACATACAGTCAGTTGGTTCACCACGACCGGGTTTCGTTCGTAGTAAGCCAATGTTGTGGAAGAGTTTGCCTTCGAGTTTTGGATCTTGTAGTCCGTTTTTCACGGGTTTGGCTCCCGTCCGGTGTACATCACCATCGGCATCGGAAGAGGAATGATCTTTGTCACAGATAGAAGCGTCCCCGCAAGGTAATTGAGAAATAAAGAGATATAGTGACGCCGCCTTGCCACGCCATTCGCAGAGACCGCTCGATTTAAGAGAAAAATACGATGAGACACCTCGATCCTCACTAGTGTATGTTTTGCGCACTTCGTTTAGAAGAAATTGATTCAGGAGTCTTCTGCTGAGAACTTCTGCATGGGAATCGCTAACCAATCCAGGTCGCCGCTCGCTTTTCCCGAGGCATTTAGTCCCTGTCGCGAGAGACAGAACGACCGGAGCTTTCGATATGTCCGTCGGTACTGACACGATGCCTGCAAGAACCGACCACTCGGACAGGGTGGGCTTGCCGTTCCGAGGTAAGTCTTCGAAAGCTTCGACGACGAGACGCGCAACTCGATTGCCCAATGTCGACGCCGAATCGTCGCCAGGATCACGGCCGGGCATTCTAGGAGGCCTGGCCCTTGCCGTCGCAAGCGACAATCTTCACTTTGTCGGCTCGAACAAGCTCCTGAACTTCGCGGAACTCGACGTTTTTCAACACGAACGTCCAAACATTGTCGCAGAATCTGTAGGTGCTGAGATGGCCAGCTTTGAATGAGAGCCGACTTCTGACGCGAGTCGCCAGAGCGTTGTTGATCGACTTGTCGAACTGGAGGAGAACTCTCACAGCGAGTTGCTGCGAGATCTGTCCGGAGGCGACCAACTCGTCAAGCGAATCCTGCAGGGTCTGACCCAGCGTTGTGTTCCGGTAAAGTTGATAACTCATTGTGGACGTTAGACGAAGCGACGACGAGGATCGGAGATCAGTGCTGGAGGAAAACTTCAAATTGAAGCACAGACAACTCGATAGGTCGAGGGCTCGGTGTAATGGTGTCTCGCAAGTTTCCGTGAACGTGGTCGATTCAGATGGAGCAGGCCCGAGATTTTTTCCGATATGGCCCTCGGAACCCGAAAAGCAATCGATCAGACTAACTGAGACAATAGAAAACAACAGATCGATAATGAGAGCAATTACTCCCTCGCTTGGAGCTAAGTCAACATAGCTACGTGCGATAGTACTCCGGGGAATGGAATCTAGCTAAGGAAACAATCAAGCAGCTGCGTACTGGGTATTGGGAACGATCAGGGGTTTTGGTAACAGTCGAGGATTTCACCAACCACAGCCGACGTTGAGAGAGGTGTTATCCCGATGCTGCCGGCGACGTTGCTCGAGACGGTGCAGTTCGCTTGCCGCTGTTGCTGTGCTCGATTTTGTTGTTGTTGTCGTGGTGGTGGTTGGGGATGATGATGCTGCCGTCGATTATGATGGAGACGTCGATGTCGATGAAGCGGCGAGATCGTCGCCCCGTTTCGACAAGGGACCGATAGACGTTCCCGTGGTCGTCTCTGAACGTAACTTCGACGCGAACTCAGCAGAAACAGCAATCGTAATCCATCTACTCAGTGGCGGACCCGCCGTTCACTCGCCAAAGGCCCACGAAGTCGTCCATTCACTCCACACTCGGAACGATACTCGCTCACTTAATTCCAGATGAGCAGCGCAGTTCTGCGACTGTTCCACTGTTGGGTCGATTGGCAACTGAACACCGAGTCCGTTTCGGAGCTAGCCCGCAGTTTTTCAGGCAGCTAGTTGAGTAGACCGATCGGAAGTGATTGTTATGGAGTAGCCCAGACAGTCAGCGCAGCTGCTCTCCCCCTCGCTTTTAGGCGAGCTAGCCATCATCAAAAGCTCCCAGACACACCCATCTGAAACCACGTATCGGTAAGATTCTAGGCGCGCTTCATGGATGAATCGAGAATTGAAATCGCAACGTGAGAAAATTTCGAGCGGCCTGGACGCAAGAAAGGCGCTCTTTGAGCGGAGGAACGTAAATTCGGGATACCGTCCAAGAGAACTCATGTGGCGTACATGACAGACCCACTCGGAAGAACAGCGGGAACGAGTCGCAAAATTGAAATCTGTCGCCCAAGCTGAGACTACGGGAATGAGATCGATCCGCTCACATTATTCAAAAAGGCCAATTCTGTTTTCTCTCGACTTCTAATAGCGCCGATCGACGCCGTTCGAGACTTCTTCTGATGAGTCTACTGGTCGACACCCTGGTATGAAGGAATCTGTGTCTGTACTCCATACCCTATACTTGGGGAGGAGGATATGTGTGTGGTGTCAATGATGACATTGATCCGTACCGGCAGTTTCGAACAAACGAGTCTGGCATCGGGCGGTTTCGGGGATACTCTCCTGAGTGGGGCGCCACTTGCACTCCCAAATGAGGGAAATCGAAATCGAGGATTCGAATTCCAGTACCCTGAAGCTGAAGTCTGAAGACTCTAAACCCAAGCTCCCTTATCGCGATTTCGAACTGGGGAAATCGGAGTCGTTGACTTAGGCGTCGAGCGAGTCATCCTCATACGGGCCGAGGGTCGCAGCCTCTCTCTTACGGAGAGACATTGAGGAAGTGATCTTTAATTTCAAACGTTCTCCTGCACGTCACAATTTAGAGCTGCGAAATCATCCGAAGTCATGACATGAAGGAAGTTCTATTGGTCAGAGGAGAGAATGGACATAGAGACCATGCTATAACTCACAGAACCGAGGGATGTCGATTCGTAGGCTAGGGGAGTTTTCCAACGTATAGGAGTCCGATTCCAGCGGCACTTGACTTTATGTATTCAAGACAACATATGCATACCCACATGAGTAACTGATGTAGATATTTTGTGCAGATGCATTCTTCTGTAAGAGAATGGCGGATCCTGGATCCGCAGATTCACGGATTTCGGAAGAAAGTGTGGCCTCCAGGTTTGCCTACTTTTACGGTGGCCTCATCGTCGTTTACGGAGACGGAATTCCCTCCTTCCCGGACGGTGCCTTGATGCAGGGCCTTTTCCCGTTCGATTACGCTTCCAAGTCTCCCGAGAGGTATTCAGACGAAGAGACTCAGGGGCAATGGTCAATTTCATGGATCCATACGATGCGGCGATACTATATCGGAGGACCCCGTCCCTCTCATCTCAGGGGCGATTTCTCGGCAGATCGGTCGGGTCTTCCCCTGCTGCCATCGCTCGCCCATAATCATATGTGCACATGCCGGATACTTCTTGACCATGGTTGTTGCTCTTCTTATTCAGGTTACTCGCCAATAGACCGCTACAGAGAGGCTCTCCACTGCTTCGTTGAAAATATTGACGAAATTCGACTAACTTTGCATCTAATCAAGGAACGACTGTCAGGTCGCTTGAGAGGCGGAATGGCCGCCAATATCGCTATTTATCAACTTATAATCACTCACCAGGACCCGTTTCCGCACGCCTCCTGCGTGCGATCATATTCGCTGTGGCAAATACCGTGCCGCTCACATGCGGGTGTGACCGGCGCGAACCGGGTTGTGGAGTCAATGGCGAACGGCTGCGGGAGAGTACTTCTTTCTCGGATTCCGAAATGAGATATTCGATCATTACGATTCGGGCGACTCATGCACGAAGATTCGCATATGATACGTAATGATATGCATGATACTATCCAACTTCGTCCAGAAAGGAGCCCGTGAACGTCTGTTCGTAACACGTAGAAACATTGTGCTTCTTCATATTCTCGACCTCGGAACTCTTCCGGCTCTCGCGTAGAAATACTCTGTATCTTGAGAAAGGGCGCTCAACCTCACAGGAGAAGACTTAGGGCAAACTTGAATGCGGGAGCATCCTTCACATCGGGATCCTCAATGGGTCCACCGCGCTCTCCCCGCGGGATTCGTGCGATCATGCGCATCTTGGTGAAGCAAGGATTGCGCTCCAGGCTCTGGGTAAACTTTCTACAAATAGTCACAGGATGCCCACTCCCGATGTTCTGAATCCGGCCATGTTATCATTTATTGGGTCGAGCTCCGCCTCTTCAAGGAGTATTTTCATTTCATCATTCGAAATTGCTGACGGGTAGGTTGCGTACCGTGATCAGACTGCTCACAAGCCACGACTTGAGCTTATTCTGCTCGGTTAGCGAACCCTCCTCCTTGTGCCTAGCGACATGCCCCCAGATGCTGGATGTACTCCCCCATGTAGTCCGCCGCATGTTCAGCAGTAGTTCGCAGCCTCTACCTCAGTGCTCCAGCGGGTTATCATCGGCGTCGGCGGCAGAGGTATCAACAGCGTATCACGGAATTTCCGAGTCTCTCCGCGCCAGAGGATCGAAATGCTGCTGCAGAACAACGAAGACATCGTTGTTGAATTCGCCGCTCGAAGCTCTCCGCAAGCCAAGACATGGCTCTCGCACGGGCTTCCTGAGCTAAATCACTCGACAACAACGTGCGCGATCTATCTGCCGACGGAATCCATGGTTTCATCGATCGAGGCCAAGGATTGTCCTGAATGGCGTCTTGAATTCGATCGAGGGTTCTCTCGTACAAAGTCAGCCCATAATTGACACGCAGGCATGTTGGCGTCGGAACTATGTAGCTGTCTACACCGGCTTCCGAAGAAATCTTGAAGCTCCTCAAATGGGATGCCTGCTCTCACGAGAGCTTCACATGAAGCGGTCGCGAATTTCCCTCGCCTGGCAAGTCCTCTGACCGTCTTACATGATACGGCGGGGTTTCCACTGACTTGACTGGGCTGCAGAGCTCTGGCATGTTTCGCTGTTCTCAGGTGCTGGTTCAGAGTTTCAGAGTAAGCCTCATTTTGGGATGATCTTGAACAAATCTTGCAATGTATTGCAGAGCTTCCTTCTGGGAAGAACGTTTCGCTACCTGATTCGTTGAATAGGTCTTCCGTGCTCGGTCTCACTTCGGGCGTGGCTCGGAGGAGTTCACCCTTGAGCACGGGGAGCAATAAGATGGAACTTGACTCAGAAGCTGGCTCTTGCGGATTTCGGACAACGAAAGCTTTCAGACAAGATCAGCTGAATGCTCTCTTCAAAACACCACGTGGCACAACCCAATATCCATATTTTCTCTCCTGGCGGGCGTTTCTCGAGAGTTCACGATCGCTGAACCTCGAGTCCAATGAATTCCGAGGTAATCCGAACAGTAATCAGCTGAAGATACAAATCTCTTGTGAGAAAACGAATAAACGCGACGACTGTGCGTTCGTGGATGGAATCATGATGTTTCTCGGCTTCCCTGTCCCAAAGATTCTCAAAGTCTAGACTGGTCGTGAGAGTACGACTTTGGTTGAATACCAGGCTTCTCGGATCCATGTGCGCTTCGGAGTTGATAGTGTCCGTCAACAAGAGAGTTGAGTGGTGCTCGTCAAGGGAAACATGCCCGTTCGGAGACCTTTCCCTCAGAGCAGCCGCCAGTAGAGCATGCCGGTAGATATGAGCAAGTCCTCCGTTGAAGGTCGAATGGAAATCGAAAACTTCTAGTTCCCGGTCCGTACGAGGACTATTACACTCGTCAATCCCACGGGGCCCCGTCCCCATGACAGTACAAAAGCACGTGAGTCATCGGGGTTGCCCCCCGAGTTTACAACTGTGACATTTTGCCTATCAGGTGGTACAGGATCGAGTGTGTACCCCTTCTCCCTGGGTATACCCGGTAGCCTACAGGGACGCTACTTATGACAGCACAATGTTGACATACCGACTTATATGTATGTACGTACGGATCGGGACATATAGGGAGGAGCTTAGACTCTTCCGTCAGTGTGAAAGAATTCCAGTGAAGACCTCTGTGGCGTCCCCCCGTCGTGAGACTGGATCTCTGTGTATTCCTGAACGGGCTTTTGTCCTACACCGTACCCGAGCGCCGAAGCTAGAGCTTCAATACCCTTCATCAAGCGAGAATATAGTGTTTGATTCACGGTCTTCCCGCTGATCTGATAATTGATAACCTTCGGCTTCGGCACGCGGGTCTGTGCAATCCATGCAGCAGTGAGTTTATTGGAAAAAAGCGAATCGGAGTCGAGGCATCACGAGCTTTGCAGCATCGGAGTCTACTTCAGATTCTACTCAAACGTATTGCGATTCCATGATCTCAACATCCAAGGGCACCGGCGCGACCATTGCTCAACGCCTAACTCAACGACTCGGATATTCCTTATTTGATATTGACTCATCGGAGCTCGATCTCGAAAACTTCAGTTTTCAGGTTCAATATACTGGAGGGCGGATCCTCGGTTTCAATCTCCCCAATGGAGCATGACGAATTGCGAGTCACTCAGGACTTTCTATCAATGTGATGCTGGAAAACAGGGATACTTGGACTGCAAAGTAAGACCACGAATCCAGAACCCTATGATTGCAGAATCTCATGATTCCATAGCTCCACAATTTTACAGTTTCACGATTATTCCACGACTCCCGCGCTTCACAATTCCGGGACTTAGTCAGTCGAATTCGGAGATCAGAGAGCACCCCAGAAACCGCCCAATGCCCGACTCGGTTGAGACCGACGGCACGAACGAATACCGATTCCTTTCAAACATGTGACCGACCACCCGTGAGTCGACTCAACATGCGTTCTTCTGAACGGCATCGATCGGCGTTATCGCTCTGGTAGAACTCGAGAAGGAATAGAACATGCCGTCCGATCAGATTGAATTTTTGTGCGCATATCAATTCCATCTCCGTAGTCACACTCTTGGCAACAGATTTGAATCGAAGTTCGTTCCCGCCGTTCTTCTGAACGGGTCTCCCAGATGCCCAATACGGTTCAAGTTCTCTCGGACGGATCTATCTTCTACATTAAAGAGCGTGAGCCTCGGGGTGAGGACGGCTATCATTCCGAACTAACAACAAGTCGCATTGATCCCGTGGGGAGCCGAAAGTAAAAATTTCCTGGATGGCGTCCTACGCATACAGGACCGTCTCGCAGGATGATCAAGAGAATCATTCGCTCATATGCGACAGCTCGTCGTACATTGCTGCGCTCATGTCAGATGGAAGCAGAACGCCTCCACGTACAGAATTTCTACAGAACATTGTTTTCCAATATCGGTCCAATATGGTTGGGCGCGTACCGAAGCACGGGTAGACGGCGCTTGTCTCGAATACATGTTCTCCACTCGAAAGCACGCTCTTCTTGCATACAGGCCGCTCGAAACTTCACATCTGGGAGTGAGGAGAAGCTATGAGCCGCGAAACGTCCCTGGCGGATACGACCTCTTTTCCTGCTGTCGCCAAAAAAAAGGAGGATTGTCAGCGAGCTCGAGTCCATAATCTTTGCGGATAGCACGGATAGAGCTGAAGATTTTTCGCGGAAAACCGCCGAGCTCGCGGGAACTCGCGGCCTCCATTGAAACTCTATGAGGAGCAGCCGGTTTCCGCGAAAATTCGCGGAGAAATGGCGGTCCGCGAAAAATCTTCAGCCCTAATCATGGAATCGCTCGCACCAAAATCCTGCCGTAGGGCGAGAAGTATTCCTTGAATATCCTTCCCTCAGGAAAGCTTCCCCTTTGTCGCTGTCTATTGTCGTGTCTCTGAAGAACCACTCGATAGCGACGTTGGAGATGAATAGATATATTCTAAAACGAGACCCCTTTTATAGGAGACTCGGTTCGTGGTGCAGCCCGGATGCTACATCTATGTCTTGCGATTTGATTTTACTGCCTGCATTTCTGAGGACCCCGAGGAAGATCTCCTCTTGCACCGACTGTGTCTCCACAAACCAAGGTGGCAAGACGGTACACAAAAATGAAGGAGACCGTGGAATGACGCGATCATCCATGAGCGTCGCATGGTGGCACGTAGAGCCGGAATCTCGCCTATCGTACCGCCTCGGGTTCCTGTCCATCGTTTTCAGGACATCGAGTAGACATCCTCATCTACCCTGAGCATAGGACCCAAACAGAAGAGGCATCGCATCGAAAAAGATGTATGGTGTCTTGGTGAGCTGACACCCATCCCAGCTGGGGATATCTCTCCCTCAATGATTTCCTGTCGAGTAGATCCAGAGCTGGACGACGAGGTGACAATTGAAAAACAGCAGAAGTCTTTGATCTCGCTCATCAACCCCAATCAGTGAACAGTGATCATCCGATCGCTCCGCCTCATTTCTAGTAGGTACAATCCCTTTATTGGGAGCCAGTGCCGTGTCTTACAGCCATGTTTCTCTAGCGGTAAAGGCCGGTGCCGAGGGAGACGGAATCTTCGGGATCAACTGGAGAAGAAGCTCTATAAGACAGAGCTCGAATGCGCTCCGGGCACCATGCTGTAACCTTCCAGCTCTCGGGGAGAAACCTCGCCGCCTCGCTCATTCATTCTCTCGGCTGAGCCAAGGTGCCCAAGTTCAGAATTGACGGGTACAGCTGACGGAAAATCATTCCCATGAATGGAAATATAGGATAAGAAATCCAAGCCGAGACTTCGAGGCCCGCTCGAGTGTGCTCTCGACTTCCGCAATCGCTGCGCTCGGAACTACGATTCAAAATAGGCTGAAGCGTCGATGGACCAAGCAGGATCCGCTTCTCGGTGCGTGTGCCGTGAGCAGCCCTGGCATCGAGTCGACTAGGGTCCTGTCCGGCACGGAGGAAAGAATCGTCAAGAGCCCTGCTCATGGATAAACGAGTCCAGCTCGTGTTGTAGCAAGTATCCTCCAGGAATTCCTCCTCAGGCTTGTGGAGGGCGATCCTCGAGGACAGTCCGCGAGAAACCTGTTTTTTTCGTCGTATCCTTCTCAAGACAGATAGGACTTGAATTTCTGTTGGCAGCACAGATAAAACTCCGACATATCTTGAACCGAACCTTGTGCCACCGGCACGAACATTCTCTCCGGTGTTGAGCCTGGTGTAGTTTTGCCTCGCGTTTTTCCGCTGGCACCGGGTCCCCTGGAGTGTGTGAGAGAGCTAGGAATACGCAACGCTTCGGTTATGAGATGCAGCTCCACGATAAAGTGACCGTACGCGGGAGGCAGAAGTGACTTGCACCCATGACCATTGAGCGGAAGGGTATGCGAATCAGAGAGTATCCGGAAACTCGTCCGTAGGCAGCGCTCGTTCTCGATTTTTCTCCTCGATTCCGCGGCGGAATAGAGCCAACTCGCTTGACTTGGTCGCCGCCTCCCGTGGCCTTCATGGGCGATACCGCGCTCTCAATCATTCTTGACGGGCGATCGTCTTCAGGGAGCATCAGAATGTCCAAATGGAGAGAATTACATATGATAGAGGATTGCGACAAACGGTAGCATCTCGATTCCGACCGTTGTGAGCTCAGGACCGTCGCGACGGTCCTGAGCTCGAAGCGCCTCCGCAGGCATCGGTTGAACCGCTGCTCCGCCGATTCTATATTCGGGGCCGGTTGATTGGAGTCGGCGATGATTTCTCTGCTCGCTCTGCTCCCAGACATCGGCTAAGTCGCCTCTCTGGTTCCCGGATCGCTGGACTCCCGCCGCCGTACAAGTTGACGGATGACGGACCGAGAGTATTTCTCAAGAGACGGACCTCTCTTCCGACACAGTGTGAGGAACACACCGAGAATGAGAGTGTGAGCGGAAGAAAAAGAGCGGACCTCATATTCGGAGGAGCGATCGAACGTGAGATCCGTTTTTTCTCTCCGACATGAGCGACTGTTTTCTAGCGCGACCACAGGGTATCAGGAGGGCATTGCCCCAGCGCTAGTTGGTGGGGTGCATACGAGAGGGCGCTCAGTGCAGCGTTGGAGCTCGGGTGTGACTCGAACTCGTTCTCCATACTCTCCCTCTTCGGGTGACTCGTCGTCGGTGTGTAGTCAGTGAGCCAACCATCCAGCCAGCCCTCCAGCCTGTCTGTCGGCCACGGTACAAGCACATCGAGTCATCGCCACCACAGATGACACTAACCCACTGAAGAAGACCAAGTGCCATTGGAATAAGTCATCGAGCCACCGATCCGCCGCAGAACACAGCCCTCCGGGAGCTGCCGTCGGAACAACGCAGAGACGTCGCATTGCGCCCGTCAGCCTGCGACAAAGGGACCCGGCGGTGCTGTCATGGAATCCGCTGTGCTCTAGTTCACCGACTAGTGCCGTGGCTCTTCAGCGTGCGTGCCTACCCTCTGCGTGAGTGAGTGAGTGCGTGCGTGTTGCGCGCGTCAACAGTCCTCAAACGCGGTGAACCCAACTTTTCGTCATGGGTGAGTACCGCTCGTCGTAGGTTCAATGATTTGGCGTCGGGATTCTGATCTGGAGGATAGCAATGCTCTCAGAGCTCGGATAAGATATGCGCATGGGGCTTGGAGCCCCTCTCTCGAGGAGGCCATGAAATCTCGAGAGGGGTGCACGACTCTCCACACGGATACGCGAGTCTATGGACTGCCTCGAATCAGCATTTAGGATGAATCCCGAGGAACTCTTATAGGTTATTGCGGCAGCCGCGGGCTCCAAGAGCCTCTGTTACAATATGTATTAGAGCTTCTGACTACGCCAACGCCACCCTTTCACCTAATAACATTAGCATCAGACAAAAACCGATTCAGTGAACACCTGTGAGTCATCCGTCGGTGCTTCAACAACGCCCGTACAATTGCTCGTTTTTCCCTCTTCTCTTCGCGATGCCAACTTACGGGGCTTTCTGAGCAATCTTCCCGGATGCGTCCGTGAATTGTCAACCCTGTGAGGCGATGCTGGCGAGCGCGTGTAATAAGCTCGAAATAGGTCCTGATCCGCTGATCCGGGAACACGAATTAGCGCTGCTTCAACAATCGAGTCGACCTGGTCTGACACCCAGATAGCTGGCGCGGAATGTACACGCCGTCGAGAGAAAACGGGAATACTCTATTCGGAGGCTTCACCTGATGGCTGAACTGATACGATATTCGCAGGGCATGCGGCTGACGGAGTGGCGGACATGATCCTGCTGTCGGAGATTAATGAGAACACGATCAACCAGAATCTCCATGTGCGGTACGACCGCGACAATATTTACGTAAGTATTCATAACCGCTTCGTGAGCTATACGGCTCCAAGTCGTCACGTCCGTGTTCCATTCCTTGCTCTTCACCACTGCTCCAGGAAATCCGCTGTTTGCTGGCAGGTTTCGCTTTGAAGGGACAGCCTTCTCACGGCTTAGGCAGGTCAATTGATGCTTATTGAGAGCGTATAACGGGGTTCTGCAGCTCAGGGGAGTATAGTCCGCGGGATCCAGAGGGAGATTTTCCCTGGAGAAGATTCTCCTCACAAAAAAAATATCATTCGAGTGGAGAGAAGACATTCTCGCTACCTTACCCTGAAGGCTTTTTTCGTATGCTTCTGTAGACCTACACGGGAACCATCCTCGTGGCCGTGAATCCGTATAAGGAATTATACATTTACGATGAGGTAAGACGAGAAAGGAAGGCTCCTGTATCAATATTCGCGTTTTTCTTCCTCTGAGAAAGCTTCGAAACCTAGGATCTGATCATCAGAATTATATCCATTATGAACTTCCGCGGAAAATTCATTTGACATCTCCATTGCAGGGACACATCCAGAAGTATCTTGCAAACAAGATGTCCCAGCTGGAACCTCATGTGTTTGCTGTAGCTCAGGCTTCCTACTACGAGCTCCAGGTTCGTCATGATGGGATTCTCTGGTGAGAAATTTCGATCGCTCTCGGATCCGTCAATGATCTAGGTTTCCTCCGCAGAGCAATTCCAAGAATCAGGCCTGTGTTATATCGGGTGAATCAGGAGCCGGGAAAACGGAATCCACGAAGTTCATTCTCCAATATCTTTGTGCCGTATCGGCCTCGCAGAGTCAGGGTTCCTCCTGGATCCAACAACAGATCCTCGAAGCGAACACGATTCTCGAGGCCTTCGGTAACGCAAAGACAGTGCGCAACGATAACTCTAGCCGCTTCGGTAAATTTATCCAAGTCTGCTTTGATCAGAGGTGAGCATCCCCCGAAAACTGCATACATTCCTGCTGTTCCGACCAGAATGGTCCCGGGATTGAGCTTTCGTTCATGAAGAAAGGAATCCTTTCTCTTATCCCCAGGTATGAGATCAAGGGATGTGTCGTTCAGGATTACCTCCTCGAACAATCACGCATCACCCTGGTATCACCTCAAGAACGCAACTATCACGTCTTCTATCAGCTAGTCGCTGCAGGCCAAGCTTCAAAGGAGTTCGGCCAGCAGTTTATGCTGGACGAATGTTCGAAGTACAAATATTTGAATCAAGGTGCCGAAGGAATCGAAGGCGTCGACGATGCCAAAATGTTCGACGCTCTCCGGCTGGCTCTGAGCGTGTTGGGCATCGAACAGGTGAGCCGCGTTCCCCCTTCTCCCTCGGCGATTATAGAGATCCGTTTTCAATAATGATAAATGATAACAATCAATCCGAATTCCTTTTCAGGATATGATGGATGGCATGTTCAGTACCCTAGCGGCGATTCTATGGCTCGGCAACGTCGATTTCACCGAGAGTGGTGGGGAAGACGAAGGTTCAAAACTCACCCATGAGGATGAGGAGTCGCTAGTGAAGGTTGGCAATCTTCTTGGACTAGAACTCACCCAGCTCAAATACATACTCCTCCATAGACAGATTATTGTGCGAGGCAATGTCACCGAAATTCCCTTCAAACTTTCTGAGGTGAGTTCCGAAATCTTCAGCCGCGAGGATCGATGCAGAGAGAGAGCTCCTGATTTCTCGCATCCCGGCAAGCATCCGAACCGGGATCCTTATCGATGTTCGATAGCACAACGGTAATATGGCATTTTGCTCTGCTTGCAGGCGCAACAAAATCGCCACGCCGTGGCCAAAGCCCTGTACAGCCGTTGCTTCGCTTGGGTGATAGACTTCATTAACCGATGCACAAGTCCGAAAGACAGAGCGACGGCTGCGGACACTGGACGTTTCCTTGGAGTTCTCGATATTTTCGGCTTCGAGGACTTCGGGTCGGAGAAGAACAGCTTCGAGCAACTTTGTATAAATTACACCAACGAAAAGTTGCACAAATTCTTCAACCATTATGTTTTCTCGTTAGAACAACATACGGTAGGCGGACTGTTCAAATATTCCGGATGCAGATTCTATAGCATCCTAAGGAGCCATTCCAACGAGATTTCTCCCTTTCCGTACAGTATCAACAAGAAGGCATCAAATATAAGCATATCGATTTTGTGGACAACTCGCTGTGTCTGGAACTAATCGAGAAGCCACCCAAAGGAATATTGCGTCTCCTGGTCGAAGAATGTCGCATGCCGAAAGGTGCGTATGCCAGCATTGACCTGTCGATCGCATGCGAGCTCCATTCGTTTCGTGGATCCGTCCAACCATTCCCCCTTTTTCCAGGGTGCGATGGGAGCTTCGTGTCCAAATTGCATTCAGAGCTGATTGAGCACAATTATTATGTGAAGGGTGAGGACAGGAGACGCTGGGAAAGCGAGTTCGGGATAAAACATTACGCAGGAACCGTCATGTATAAGGCTCACGGGTTTTTAGAGAAGAACAAAGACGCTCAAGTAGATGCGCTTTTTGAGCTCATGCTCAAATCGTCCAACTCGTTCGTGACAGACCTTGTGAGATTCCGTGATTTGCTGGAAATCACATTGACTCGCTCAAATGAGAACCAGGTCAGTATCGTGAGCTCTCAGGACACGGAAAAGTACTGAGTAGGAAGTATTCTTCATTACGTAATGCAGGCATCCTCCCTGAGGGAACAATGTGTTCAGATGGAAGGCGTTCGAGAGACTCCGGAGAAAAAATCTAGCTTGATGTGGTGAATGGATATCATAGAGTCGATGACCCCAGCCTTGGAATCAATGATCTTATCTTGCAGCTAACCGGCGATGCAAAGCCGACGCAGATGACAATGTCGCGAACCATGAGCAAGTCGAAACCAACGGTGGCCGATGCCTTCAGACAGCAGTTGACGGCTCTCGTCGACGTGCTCCACTCAACGAATCCGTGGTACGTTCGCTGTATCAAGCCAAACTCGCTCAAGAAAGCTTCGTTCTACGACGAGCAACTCGTAATGGACCAACTGAAATACTTGGGGATGATGGAAATAATCAATATCCGCCGCATGGGATATCCCGTTCATCTCGAGCATAAGGAATTCGTCTTGAAGTATCGGTGAGGATCGAATAAAGTCCATCAGGACCGAAGAACGCGACATGATTCATTCGGAAAAAAACTGTATAGCTATCATGCAAGCATGCGGAACCGATAGAAACTTTCCCGTTCCAGCTGTTTGATGGGCACACGGCGGTACTCGATAAAACGGTCTCAGAACGCGATCGATTCGGTCAAGATCATCCTGAATTTCCTCAAAATGAAGGATCTCGATTGGCAAATCGGGAAATCCAAAGTGTTCCTCAGGAGCTCCGTCTCCAACGTACTCGAAGAGATGAGGAAGAACATTCTTCATGACAGCGCGATCGCGATCCAGCGCCGTTATAGAGGCTGGAAGTGCAGAAAAGGTTCGTTAAGGTTCCCACCAATGGCGATCGGAACATCTGGGACCTATTTATCGATTCGTCTATTTTCACCCGTGATCTCTCTTTCTTGCAGAATTTTTGCGGAAGAAAACAGCTGCCACGAAGCTTCAGCAATACTATCGAGCTCGTTGCGACAAGATTCGATTCAACAAGATGCGGCGAGCCGCCATCACGATCCAAGCCTTCGTCAGAGGAATGTTTGCTCGGGTAAGCTTCGCGCTCTCGAAGAGTGAGCGCACGATCGGTGTGACTGGTCGGAGCTCATCGATTACACAGAGACGACATCCCAGTAAAACCATCCCGTTACCTTTGTAGGAAGTCGCCTCAGCGTTGCGCGAGCGCAAGAAAGTGGAAGAGGCTTTGGAGAACGAAAGAATCCGACAGGAGAAGCTCGCCCAATCCAGAGAGCTGCAAGAGGCTGAAGATATCATTAAGGCGGCGCAAGAAGAATTGGCCGTGATCACCGAAATGGTTCAAGTCAAACAGGCTGGACAGAAACTCAACGAAATCGAGAGTTCAGCCGAGTCGCAAGAAAAAGATGGTGTTCAAGTCGATCTCGACCAGATGTTCTCGTTCCTCAGTGAGGTGCAACAGACTCCCCTGGAGGAGAAACAAATCACAGACCCGACCAACGGTTCCTCGGAAGCCGTCGGGAACGACAAGGGGGAGTCCCGTTCCGAACCCGAGCAACACATTCCAATACAGCACAATGGGGTCGCTGACGACGAGCGAGTTCCAGTGGATCCAAAAGAAATCGAACCAAGATCCAAGGAACCTATCCAATCCCTGCAACCGTCGTCGACGGTATCGAGCAAGGGCGAAGCTGCTAAGCTGCCTCGCACCGCCTCGCCAATCAAACCAGAAGACACCGATTCCGAGTGCAACGGTGAAGACGATGAAGAGGTGAGCCCTCGACGGACTGGAGCCTCATCTACTCATTCGGATATCTGCTTCAAAGACAGCATTTCGAGCTGGGCTTGGCAGAGGAATCGTTCTCTTTTATCAACGCAAAATTCCGTTTTCCCCTTACAGGAGCCCCCTCCGCCACCCCCGATGCCTCCCCAAGGTCTGGGGGCTCTCCATGCTCAGCAGACCTTGCCGCAAGAGAAGGACAAGAACAAGTTACAAGTACTCACCAGCAGCCCCTTCGCATCGCAAGCCCCTTCGACGCCAGTGCGGACGCGGCATGACAGCAGCACGAATCACAGTAACGCGGAAAGTGCGACAGAAAACGCTGAGCGAGAGCTGCGGCGCAAACAACGTGTCGAGAAGAAGCTCAGCGAAATGCAGGAACAACAGGAGAACCGCAAGAGCCGCATAGCTTCCGAGCCCGCCTCGGCAACCTCCATGCTGGAATTCGCTCAACTTCATTTCGCAAAACATCCGAAAGAGTTCTATCAAAGCTCTCAGACGACCCAAGTCATGCGCACGCTGACGCGGAGACGGAAGACGATAACGAATTCGGAAGCTGTGCCTTTCGAAGAGATGATCGCCTATTGCAAGCAGGGAGCGATTCCCGGGCCTCATCTGAAATCCATAAGAGACACGGAGATGATTCAGAACGCTTGCAGCAACTTCAAAGACCTTAGTGAGTCATTCTTCGGATGTTGAGCCGTTCAAGAGGAATGGTCGATGATTCCATCGAGAGATGGCTTCCCCCGGTGGTCGTACCCGACGACATAGATTAGAATTATTTTTCTTTCCAGGCAAATACGTGAAGGGAGACATGCATCCCGACGGCGAGATGCTCTACATACAGACAGTATGCCAACTCGGCATCGAACACGAAATCCTCCGGGATGAGATTCTTGTGCAAATCACTCGTCAGGCGACTGGGAATCCATTGGGGCGGGAGGCCCTAAGTCGACTGTGGCTCCTCGTTGCCTGTTGCATCGGCTGCTTCAAGCCGGGCAAAGTCCTACTGAAGGTGAGGGACCTGATTCGAGGCTTCATAAAGAGGCTCACAGAGAGGAATTGCGACACGATAGGTTATGATCTAATGCTACCAATATATGCACACAGTACTTCAGTGCCATTGTGCGAGAGCGGGCCAACGACGAGACAGAAGATGTAGAAGTTCGATCATTCGCTCAGTACGCTCTCAACGAGCTTAACGCTGCCGGAACCAGTGTTGTGGGACGACGGTGTCCGCCCTCTCAGCATGAAGTTGACGTAAGTGACGCAGGAGCCATCTCAGAGGGATTCAGAAGCTGGGAGTTTCGGCCGAACCGTCTCGACTTTGAGACTCGCGACTCCGAGGGTCTCTCAATTTTCCATGATTTCAGGCGGTGCGTCGACGGGAGCCGCTTCTCTGCCGCCTGTATCTCATGGACGGGCGCAGCAAGGCTGTCGAAGTGCAGGCATCGACTACGGTCTTGCAAGCCACGAAAGCCTTAGCTGAAAAAATCGGACTCAAGAATACCGAGGGCTGGACAATCTACGAATATAACCCTGACAGGCATCAAGCATTGAAAGCGTACGACTACATCGCCGACATCGTCTACCAGTGGGAATTGTAAGCGTTCGCTCGAGAGATTATCACTTCATAATTGAGAGGAGTTCTATCGAATGGCTCGGTGGAACTAACAGATTCCCTCCCGTCTCAGCCACAAGCGAACCTCTGCGCAACTGACGAAGTACTCGAGCGTCACGAAGAAGACGACAAGTCTCGCCGTCGGCGCGGGAGACTGTAGATTCCTGTTCAAGAAACGACTCTTCAAAGCCATTCGTGAGATCCCGCAAGACCCAATCGAAGTAGATCTACTGTATGCTCAAGTCGTTCACGACGTCGTCAATGTACGTATCCGCCGCGTTTTTTCCATGTTCACGAGTCAGCCCGGTGCTTGCGACATGCACCGATCCATTCTGACATCCTTGTCCGTTGAACAGATGGATTACTATCCTGTGATGGAGCGCGTGGCACTGCAATTGGCCGGTCTTCAAGCCAGAGTGATATTGGGTGAACCTGGCCAAACAACGCCAGAGGATAATCTGGAGAAGTTCGGGAAAAATCTACCCGGATATCTTCCACGGAGAATCAGAGATCGTAGGAGCGAACTCGAATTCTCACAGGCCATAGCAGCGGCTTATAAAGCATATGGCAAAGATAAATCCGAACTGGTCTGCAAGGTTAGCGTGATCCTCCAATTTTCTTCGTTCACTGCCGATAAACGCTACTTGTAGAAGCTCGAACCATGGTTTCACTTGGCCCCTGAGTGACCCTCCCCCGCACATTTTCGATTCGCAGGTTTGGTACTTATCGATCGTGATGCAGTACCCCCTGTACGGCACCACTCTCTACCCTGTCAAGTGTCGCGGTTTCTTGACCTACGATCATCAGATGCTGCTGGGCATTTCGGCTGAGGGTGTTTTGTTGGTGAACGCCGAAACTAAAAGTATACTGAATGCCTACCGCTACAACGAACTCGAGAGTGTCCGTGTTGCGAGCGACGAAGATAGCATCACGTTCACTCTCCCCAAAGATGTGCCTGGTGAGCATCGAGCCCATCCATGAGCCCCTGTTCTCATTACTATTCGATTCTATCGCCTACATGCGCTAAGTGGTTCCCGCTTTCAGACATTCATAAGTGCTACATGTTCGAAACTAGAGAGAAAATGGATATAGCCAATCTTATTTCCTCGTACGCGCCGAGCATCGCCAGCTGGCTGAAGCCGACGTTCGAAGTCAACGTGAAGACGCGTTTGGCATTCGAAGACAGAATGAAGCTGCACCAAGAAGTTCTGAAGTGTCGCAAGAACGTCGTTGATACCGGCTTACTCAACAAACCAGACCAGGACACGGGCAACATATTCAAGAATACATTGCGGAAGTAAGTGTGAGGGAGCGGTGCAGAAGCTTGGCGTTGCCGATCTCGACCACATGCATGCTCGTTCGAGTCCCATAATAATATCTGTTCTATTCCCTTCCAGATTCCATAAGGGCGCCACAAAGTACAGCAGTCTGCGTCAGGAGTACGCTGCCGAGGGTTACAAGTCGTTCGGACACGAGTATTGGGCTTTCAGCAGGATGCCTTTGGGCCACTCGCTGTTGGTGATCTCTGATCCGGAACTTGAGAGCGCGGCGCGGCGCCTGTTCTCATGCATTCTGATATTCTCAGGACTCCTAGAAGAGGACGACGACTGGCACGGCCAAAGGGACCTGATCCAGATGGCTCAGTGGATTGTAGAATGTGGGATGCGAAGAGACACACTCCTGAACGAGCTGTTCTTGCAGCTCATCAAACAGACCACCGATCATCCAGAGCCGAACAGCAGAGCCAACGTTCGCCATTGGCAACTGTTGGCACTCCTGTGCTCACTAGTGCTTCCAACCCAGAAACACATCCTGCATTATTTGCACGCACACCTTAAACATTGTGCCATGGACGTTGTGACCGAGGAAGGTCAGTTTGCTCAATTCTCGCTGAAATGTCTCCTTAGAACGATGGAAACCCGCGGTCGGAAATGGCCTCCGTCTCGCGAAGAGGTTTCGTGCACCACCCGGCGACATCCTTGTAGGACCAGGATCCAGTTCCTCGACGGCCAACTACAACAAGTCGACTTCGACCCGTGCACCAGTGCTCAGGAAGTTGTCACTGTAATAAAACGGCGTCTCAATTTGCGTCAAGACGCCGAGGGCTACTCCCTCTACGAGGTCATCGGTACCACGGAGCGTGCAATGGCACCCGCGGAGAAACTCGGAGACACGCTTTCGAAATGGGAAAGATGGACGCAGCAGCAACAGATCAAGAAAGAGGCCGCGGCCGCGACCGGTGCTAATAGCGAGTTCAACAATAATGCGAAAGACGATCTGAAGCCGCAGAAGCAGCAAATTTTCCTCTTCAAGAAACACCTCGTCATTGACACACTCGTTGATTTGAGCGATCCAGTCGAGGAGGAGCTGATCTTCCATCAGCTGGTGTATAACATTCGATTGGATCGCTTCCCAATAAACTCGCAAGAGGCGGTGATGCTCTGCTCGCTGCGTGCTCAGCTGGATTACGGCGACTACAAAGGGGACACAATCGTGGACTACCGCAAAGTAATGGCTCAGTGTTTGCCGATGCGACTGTTGAAACAACTTTCGGCCGATGCAGTCGTGGCCCAACATCAAATCTTGGGTGGAATGAGCGTCTCGCAAAGCAAAGGAGCCTTCTTGGCCCTTTTGCGCAGCTGGCCGCTATGGGGCAGTAGCATTTTCGAAGTTCAGCAGAGCACCACCTGCTCGTGGCCGAAACTGCTCTGGCTCGCAGTTGATCAGACCGGCTTACATCTGCTGGAGATCCGTACGCGCAACGTACTGTGCACCTGCGAGTATGAGAACATTGTTAACTATTCGCCATCGCTCAACTCGATTATCGTTTTCACGCAGAGCCAACGACATCTCGACTCCCATCCGGACACTCAGACCTCTCATCCGCAGCGCCAGAAGGGATCAAAGTACATTTTCAACACTAATCAAGCCCTTCAGATAGCTCATCTTATCAAGGACTACGTGAACGCGTTGCAGCTGAAACGCAAACCACGTGAATGCAAACGAGCCGTTACGACAACTCTCGATACGTCGGACCGTTGGGGAGGAACTTACGGACGAAATATGTACACTGACATCATCTAATCATCGAACAAAACGTGGCATTCATGGCCTGAACAAGCGACCTCTTCGAAGAAATCTCGAGAATCGAATGATTTCGGTGCAGCGGACATCAGTCCACGAGCCGCTCGGAGCCCGAGGAAAATGACGGCCGGTCGCCGATCTCCAGGGGGAGACGCGAAGCGGGTTTTGTAGTTGCCGGCAGAGGAAGAACTCGGATCGATTCGATTCTTCCGGTGATTTTTAATTTAGCGAGATATCGAGAAGGTGCCATTTAGGTATTTCTCTTCTTCCAATTTTATGGGACTACGACTAGGTAGAGACAGATGAGACTGACTGTCCACTAAAGGCGTGAATGGGAAAACCCACAAACAGGCTCACTGATACGGTGCCATAACGCGTCATCGGTAGCTAGTGGATCGCTTACGGCGACGCTGACGAAGAGGTCGGAGTGAAAGCTAATTCAACCCCAACGAAAAGCGGCATTCAACCGCAGTCGTTCGCACACTTTCGTACGATTACTTCTACTACACGCTAGTATTTCGAGGTGAACCTGAGATCCCTGAAGTTGTCCCGGTATCCCTCGGACTGGAGCGTTTCTTTTTGTTTCCGTTCGTTGATGAAGTATTAGGGCAATTCCGCTCTGGGATCAGGGAGTGGCCAATCCCAGCTTTCAATGCTTTCGACGATTTCCCATAGCAAGAAGGCGACAACCGGTTCGAGTTCCTTCTAGTACATACATGACTGCCTCGAGCGTCTGTGGTGGTGTGAACTTCGCTTGGGCTATTCCGTACAGTCTCATACGCCTGTGTAGAAAAGCGAAATGACAGCCGATGCTGCGGGGCTACGGATATGCGTGGTGAACATAGTGATCCTCACACCAACGATAGCCATTTCCTCGATACGACGGCAAGAAAACTCGGCCATAGAATACCCAACGAGCCAGTGGAAACTCAGCTGTACAGCAGCTGGTCGAAGTCATTCGCGACATTTAAGAGTAGGTATCGATCGGTCTACCTAGCTTAGCAGTATAATGCGTGTAGAGTACAACTCCTCTGGTGCGTTCCGTGATGAAGGCGATGTGCAGTCTCATAGCATAGCAAACCCATGGGAAGCTCTCTATTGTGCCATGACCGAGACCGGAGTCAGGGATTGGGATCGCTGCCCTGACTCGCGGTAGTTTTTTTCGACATCTCATCAGTCTGCTTCTGAACGATTCGCTTCTTTCCTATCGGCGAGGTAGGAGAAAGATAATTTCTGGAGAAGAGCGTAGGAGTGGACGGGAACGTTTGATTTGGCGTATTCGGGGCTCTCCTAGACAAGACAGACGAAGTCGCGGACGTGGAAATAACCGCGAGAATTTTACAAAAGCCTATGAGGCATAATGTCGGGTGCCAAAGGTCCTGAGAAATTGTTGCCAAGAACTTTCTTGAAAGATATTGATTTCGCACTAATTTATTAATTAATATCTTTGAATTGAACACATGATGGAATTGCCTAATAAAGATTGATCTAGTCGCCCTCGGATCTTATATGCGCAATGTCGTCGCGTCGTAGCTGCCGCCGCGGAGCTACTTCGGCTTCTCATATGGGCAAACGCCGTGATCACAGCCCGTCGCCACGGATGATCTTCACTCTCAACTCTAAATCGTAGATCCGGGGTCCACGCAAGCGGAGCCCCAAAGCGCGTGGTGCACCTCGTCTAGCCGAGCAACATGCGGGTGTCCACGTGACCGCGTCGAACAATGTACCACCGGTTACGTGATATTCAATTCAGATTGGTTAGAGCCTCGATGGCGGTTCCGAAGTCGTGATATTTAATTCTTCCGAGGGAGCGGACCAAGGAAGGTCCGAAGGAATTTCTTGCTCGATACATTTCTACAAAATGCTACCCTGAACAAAATGGTAAAGCTGGATATCGTGGGATATCTATGATTTGTTCACTTTTGGCATCGATTTAGGTTCTGATATTCGCTTGACAGCGCTCTGTGAGACGAGAACATCGATAATGAGCCTAATAAAAACCGAAAGACGGAAAACATCGTGTGATATATCTTCGTTTCATACGGGTACCTCCCCACGGATACCTAATCCTGCGAAGTGTGAAGGCTATCTTCGATGCTCACCATGGAGGCAGCTTCCACAATTAGGAAATCATCGTCCTGACCTTGTTCATATGCGGTTGGTAGTTCATGGTTTCTTCAGACCTATCAAAATCGTTCCGAGTAAGCCTCCTTCGAAACTTTTTTGTGGAAAAAACGGAGTCTAAGGAGGAAGGTTTGTCTCGGAGAGGATGGGAAAAAACACAAATTAAGAGCTCCTCTGAACCCGTCCCGGTGGGCTATGGATGTCACCGAGGCATTGCCTCTCTGCGCCACCAGTGAGACCCTCGTCGCAGGGAAGCTTCAGATCTGAGATTCGAGATTGTCCCCAATATTTTTCAAGAAGTAAATGGCCTCCCTGGCCCATCTGCCCCATATCACGATGAAATACAGCCTCATGACACACTCCCCCGCGACGGTCACTGGTAACAGTTCCGTGCTGTGACCATAGATCGCACACGCGTTCCAGAATAGTCAATGACTGCAAGACGTACGATGGGAGGACATGAATTCCGGAGCGCTTCGACCCTCCGGGTGCCGCAAGTCCCCCTCAGCTCGCGAACCTACGACTCGCAGCGAGCCCACGGGGCCGACAAGATTTTGATCGGTGTGCTCGTCTGAATGTATGCATGCAAGTGTCTGATCACCGACTCCGTGGCTCTCAAGCTCAAGTAGGGCGGAGATTCAGTCCCTCGCTCGATCTGGAGGAGGAATCTTCACTGCATCGGGAATCGGTGTCCCCCAACCTCCGATAGCGTCTCAATCGATTTCCTTGGAGTTTGGGAAATCTATGTGCCTCATGAAATCGGGTGCTTCCTTCGCCTCGGACCACTCACCAAGATCCTTCAGCACACCAGCATCCGGGAGCGCGACCGTCATGTTTCAAAACTTCGGTCACCGCCGGTTCCATCATCGCCTTGGAAGGAGCAAGGATCCGAAAATTTCCACCAGAGCAGCCAATGCTCGGGTGAGTCGTTCCCTAGCAGAGATGAGAGGTTCTGATATCGAACGAATGAGAAAATTATGGATTTGCTTCCTCTCCTTTGACATTGTAGATTGCTCGCTTTACGATGGAGGAAAGTTCCAGCGAGGCCTGCTCCCCCCAAGAAGGGAGTTCCTCGTCTTCTTGGAGACCTCCTATGTCCCTCAGCAGGGGCCCTCTCTGGGATCGAGACGCCCCCCCCCCCCCTGGGCAATCCTGGGGCTCGGACATCGACTTGTAGCTATCAGCGATCACAACTTCCGTCAAGTCGGCAAACTGGCGATATCCATGTGATGCTCACTCGGCGTTTTGATATTAGGTTGTCCCATTGATTTGGTCGTTGATTTCGGATGGCCTTGTCAGGCTCAGGGAGCATGCTTTAAACGTACAGTGTATACCGCGGAAAAACTGAAACTTGAAACCCGACCTCGTCTCATCTCATACCTTCTCCTCTCAACGATGGTACGAAGATTGACGAAAACGCCCCCTTTGAATAGAAGTAAGGATGCGAAACAATCTACCCACATCAGACCGTACATTGCTCCCCTGAGAGGTACGACTGCGGGACCAACCGAGGGGGGAATTCATTCGGAATCCAGGCTCCGCCGGAAGACTCGAATTCTCGGCTACCTGCCGATTATCGCCGATGGGAATCGGCTCCATGACTGGGGCATCCACGTCCGATGCGAGCGACGAATGGCACCACGACGAACGACGATCATTTCCGCGCGTCTGAGGGGGCTCTTCTTGTACTTTGCAAGCGCCGTCGAATTCTTAGATATAAGGCGACGGTGAAGTCGCCATTGACTAACTGCCTGGAGGTGTCGAAAGTATTTTCGGGCTGGGGAGCGAAACAGGGAATGCGATTTCGTTGAGAACCAATGCTCCGCAAGTCTTAGCTCGCTTAGAGCGAGACACTTCTGATTCTCCAGAGTAGGAATCGCTCATTTTGACCTATAGGACATCGATACCCTCCGACTCGGCCATTGACCGCCGAGCACCGCTCCGAGCCTAATTCGAGAGTTCCCGCGTCTCAAAGCGTGTCATGTTCCCGCCTTTCATGGGAGCGTAAAGGGGGGGAGGGGGACAAAGGAGCTATAGCCTCCTCCAACATGATCCCTTCGTTGTGGTGTGGTATAGGAGCGAATCGCCATATTGCGAATCGCCGATTTAGCCCCCCGCACCAAGAAAAATCCTGCGTAGCGCCAATGGGAGCGTCTAGAGCAGATAATACCTAGAAGCGGGTTTTTGGAGCCGTTCCATCCCTCGAATGCGGAGTCGTACAAAACCTTCCGTATGTTCGCCGTCCTCGACTGAATCAATGAAGTCGATCGATGCGGATTTATCTGCTTCGCGAGCTACCTCACCGCTCCGTGCTGCGAGCTGTTGCTTATTCTAAATCGAAACCCGACGACTCAAGACAATGTACGATACGGAGTACCGGCAGAGCTCTGTGTTCGATGTGCTCCTAAGATACCCGATCCTGTCTTGTTCCTGGGCTCACCTCGCCTATCGAAGGCAGGAGACTCGTACAAGTGCTAAATCGTTAGTTTCCGAATGGGAAGAGTCAATGTCGATTGGAGCGGCAACATTCTTGAGGTTGCGATCGAAATGGGGAACTTCGTAGTAGTCTAATTGTAAAGCAGCTCGCGGCGGACTTTTTCCCGTTGTGTGGCTCTCTGCCGATCTCAGCAGGCGTGTGGGCGCATCGATCCGAACAATTGATCCTAGAAAGCTTGTGTGGCTCTGCACCTGTCTAATGAATCTGAATCAGGCTCACAATTAGCAATCGGATTCCGTGCGATCTAGAACCTAGAAAGCCACCGAATTGTCAAATCAACCAGCCCAGCAACATTTTCGTTTGCCCTGAGGTGGCGAATATGAAGCAAGACAATGACCGCGACAGCCGCACAATTAATCTTTGTCGGATTGTCCGCTGT